AAAATGTTGCTGAGAACTACAGTAGTCCCTCGCTACGTCGCGGTTCGTTTATCGCGGTTTTTCAAAATGAGATTGGGCGTGACACACAACTGACTGACTGATGGATGAGCCGCATGATCGGCATGGAATTTTTATTTTAATAAAATTATTTTAAAATTATTTAGCACCTGCTGTACAGTTGTGCAGCCCTTACTGCAGGATAAGCTTGTCCTGCAGCTGAGCCGATGTTCACTGCGCAGAGCGGAGAAGTGGGCGTGGCCAAGAGCGCTTGCAGGTGGCAAAGAGCAGACGAGGCAACGTACGTACGTACGTCTATCGATCTATCTATATATCCATCTATATATCTATATCGATCTATCAAGAGAGATAATAAAATAAGTACTACTTACTACTTAGTAGTATTCATACTTCGCTGTTTTCCACTTATCGCGGGTCTTCAGGGTATGGATCCCCTGCGATAAATGAGGAACTACTGTAGTTTATTGACAGATCACATTATTCTGGTTTTGTATGACATCATCCTTCCAACTTTTGCACCTCCTCATGTTTGGCAGGTATAGAACTCAGCTGCACATCCTTTAAATATGAGCACATTCCTCCATGTTCACCTCCACTGGCTGCCTGTACATAAAGAATCTCTCCGTGGTCTTGCCTCGCCCTACCTCTCTGAGTTCATTTTTAAGTCCACGGGGGTCCGTGGTTTTACAGCTCCTAAAATGTGGAATGATTTTTTTTTTTTTTTTGGGCTCATCTTTGAAAATCTCACTGCTTCTTCTTGGTGTCCGACACCTCGCCAAATGCCGACTTCAATGTTTTTAAATCCTTTATTTTACCAGGAAGAAATCCATTGAGATCATCAATCTCTTTTACAAGGATGTCCTGGTTGAGTTTACGTTTTATTAGTTGTAATTATAGGGCTGTTTTACATCTTATTTATTTCATTCTTATTTTATGTTGTTGTTTTTGTACCTTTTATTATTTTTCTGAACAGTCCTGTGCGTTTCAAGTGCTTTATAAAAATACATTTTAAGTAAACTTGATTGGATCGATCCTTTTGTGAACACAACTGTTCATTTTGTGCTTGTGAGCTATTTCGCCTAAAATAATAGATAAAACTGTCGCTTATCAAACAGCTTTTTAAATATCAGAAATGTAATATTTCATTTAATAACAGCAATCAATTTAGTGTTTCAAAACATTTATGAATAAAAACCTAACACTTAAAAGTTTTGTGTGTTTTAATGCTTTATTGTTGAACATTTAAATACAATGTGCTCTAGAGAAATAATAATATCCAGTGTGTTCCTCTTGTTTTTCAATAGTTTTCCTCTCATCGCCACATGTCTGTATATTTGTGGCTAAAGAAGGAATGCCATCATTGTCAACCTCAGCTAACACAACACAACGGTTGAGCATGCACAGCTCACCTCCCCACCACAAGCCGCCTTTTAGACCGACTCGATTCACTCGTGTCACATGAATGTTTTCACTTCTTCCACTCAAATGCAGAGCAGATGTCATCTCCAAACAAACGGCACAGAGCCTCGCATCTAAACAAGGTCAGCGAACGCAACTTAAAATAAGACGATTCTGACCTGAAACCACCGCATTAAAGACATGCACACGTTTCCACGTGTAAATGAAGAGGTCGTCGCCGACCAAAATGAGTCCAGAAAAAAAAGAGTACTCTCAAATTTAATCAAATACTTGAAGTAGAAAATGATTCGCAGCAGATTCTCAGGCTGATGACTGAGCTCCAACAGATAAAAACTAAAATGAAAACTTAAAAAAACGAGCTATAACCTAAGAGTGACTAAAGTTTTGTTTTCTGAGAACATGCAGAGCGAACGCTGAGACGTGAACGACTCCTGAGAGTTACTACAGAAGCTGAAACTTAAGTTGCTAAAGCTAAAGAAGCAAAATGCTAATCAAAAGCCCAAAGTAGCAAAACACTAATTAAAAGCCAAAAGTAGTAAAAGGCTAAAAGTTAAAACTGGCAAACTGATAGCTACAAGTAGCAAAACACTAGCTAAAAGTAATAAAAGGCAAACTAAAAGTTAAAAACTGTAGCTAAAGGCTAAAGTAAAAGGCTAAAAGTTAAAACTAGCAAAATGGTAGCTAAAGGTCGCAAAAACACTAAATAAAAATTGCAATATACTAACTAAAAACCAAAAGTAGTAAAAGGCTAAATGTTACCGCTAGCAGAATGGTAGCTAAAAGTAGCCAAACACTAGCGAAAAGTAATAAAAGGCAAACTAAAAGTAAAATGTGTAGCTACAAGCTAAAAGTAGTAAAAAGCTAAAAGATAAAACTAGCAAAATGGTAGCTAAAAATAGCAAGACACTAACTACAAACCAAAAGTAGTAAAAGGCTAAATGTTAACGCTAGCAGAATGGTAGCTAAAAGTAGCTAAACACTAGCTAAAAATAAGAAAAGGCAAACTAAAAGTTAAAATGTAGTTAAAAGCTAAAAAAGGCTAACAAAATACTAAAATTTGCACAAAAAAACTAGCTAAAAGTTAAATAAGGTTAACTAGAACATAAAAGCAGCTAAAAGGCTGCTAAAAGTAAAAAGGGATAAACTCAGCTTAGCTGGGTTTTAAAAACTTAGTTAGAAGCTAAAAGTAGCAAAAGTGTGGCTAAAAGTAATAAAAAGCTAGCTAAAAGCTAAAATTATCAGAAGACAAAAACAGAGCAATGAACAGCCTTGAAGCATATTTTAAAAATATGTTTCAATGAATTGAAAAGGTTTCTATATTTATCTATGAAAATATTTGTAAATAAAATTAAATATGTATGTGTGTTTTGATAAATTAATGACTAAAAAAGGCACAAAGTTTGCAAAAGTAGTTAAATTGCAAAACAATGCATGACAAAAATTAAGTAAAACAAAAAAGTGACTGCTGAATCAGCGTTCACACAATAAAATAAAATAAATCAAGTGCAGGAGAGGTTTTCATTTGCAGCTCAGCTTGAAACCGTCACTCAGTCCTGGGAACGGCTCTACCGCCCCCTACTGGCCGCTACAGGAACTGTTTCCCAGCACAGAAGGGATTTGTTCTCATTTTAAACTCTGAGGGATCTGATTTCCTGCAGCCCATCACTTGGAGATAAGTGGAGAATGGAAATCAGCCAACATGTCGTTCGTTCCACGTAAAAGCCCTTTAAGATGAGCCGTGAAAAACGAGCTGGAGAGGTTGTGAGAATACATCAGAAGATGGAAAGAAAGAATAAAAGAGACGGTAAAGTAAAACAGGAACGACTTGAGCTCATTTCCCAATAATAGAGGACAGAATGAGAGACAAAGAAAAATAAGAGGGAGAGATAGGGACCAGAGGGGAGCAACAAGAAAGAAAACACAGAACGCTCATCTGCCAGAGGGAATGATGAGGTTGTTAGTGGTTTGCAAACCAGATGAGACATTTTAACTAATTTGATTGTTTGTGAAAGAAATCATTCTGATCAAAACCACAATTGCTGCCAACTGCTTGCCTGGCATGTCTCTGCGTAATGCAGCCTGACGTGTTGGGAAAAATTGGAGAGGCTGCAGAGGGTGGGGGGGAGGCACACACGGGGGATGTCGGCACTCACCCCGCTGACTTCAAACGCGTGGAAGTGTAAAAACGGACCGTTTTACCGGCTAAAACGACCAACGGCGAGATTAGAGGAAGTCCGCAAAGCGGCCTTCAGCTGCCGCGGCCGACTTCCACGGAAACACTGACGCTAAAGCAGAAAGCTGCTTAAAAGCGACGCGATTCAAAACACCGAAAGCATTTACGCTGAAGTTTCGGTGTTTATTTGAACCCGAGAGAAGTGGCAGAGCCTGCGCAAGCCGCCGCTGACTTAAGAAGTAAAGTAGTGCAGAACCAGCGTCAAAAGACATTTTCTTAATACGCTTTAAGACAAATGGAGATTAAACGTGGCACTTACAGCAGAGAGGGTGAGCCCAGTGAAGGACTCTTTGTAGAACTAAAACACAATTCTGATTTAGTGCATTTAAAAGGTCATCTCACTTTCTGTGCATAAAAACAGTTTCGATTTAAGGATCTTAACCCTTCGCTTTCATAAAATAACCAGAATAAGCTCCGTTTAATGGCAAATAATTGGAGATACAATCACAAGTTCTGGAAAAAAAAAACTATAACTACTTTTAAAACTTGTTTTTTCAAACACTAGTGCAGGTAGAAAAGTTAATTTCCAAGTTGTTCAGTTTTTAATTACTCCTAATCTGCAGGACACAAACTATAAAGCCAGCAAAAGCATACAATAAGTATATTCCTGTGCTTATAATTCATGCATATTGCCTAATTGATGATAATTGATTGATGCCTAAATGATTTTCAGGCCTTTTGACTCGAGGTAAAGACAGTTATTGACATGCCATGGCGACCGGACATATAATATTGACTTTCAATGCGTCTTTGCATAAAAATATTCTAAGCTAAATTTGTGACTGGCTTCCAAATATCACTTCCGTTTGTTTACCTACAGAAACAGCCGAAGAGTCGTTTGGGATCCAACAATTTATATTGGTTCATGTATACGCTCAGATTTGCTGAGAAAAGTGACTTTACACCTGCAAGAGTTTCCCTTTAACAAGAACTAATTTGGTTACAGTTCTGGGTGCTTGAAATAACAATTTTTCTTCCCAGTAAGAGTAAAACACGCTCGCAGTAAGCAGCTGTGGCACTTCTGGCTGATGTGGTTATGATCACTGCAAGTCACCAACCACCGATTCAAACAACTCCTGAGTCACATGTTGATGCAAAACGATGACGTTCTGTGTATTTATCGTCCTTAACGTGCTGGAAATGGACTGTTTGTCTCCAACTCTGTGGGAAAAACACTTTGGAGTTGTTCAGCTATTCACACAAACACGACAGAGTTGCTGCCGTGCAAGACGACGAAGGGTGACAGGCGGACCACTTTATACAACAGATTTAAATATTAGCATTTAAAAAAGCTACATGTGATGAAATCAATTCATAAACCAACACCTGCCTGATTAAAGGTTTTAAAGTGAAGCTCCTTGAAGAGGGCGTCCCGTTCCTCCACCTCCATCCACCCTGTGGCCCTGAGCTCCATCACCAGCTGATCCCGGTCTGCAGGGCTGAGCCAGTGGGAGTCCGACGACTGGAAACAACAAAAAAATACCCCAACACTTCACATTTTTTACTGTCATGGTAACTGTCGGACTCAGAAATAAATGTTGGTTTGTAAACATGGGAATGTCGTCCTCGTCTCTCCTTGAAATCATTTATATCGCCCAGAGGTTTAGACTAAAATCGTCCATATTTGCAGAGACATTGTGCGATACTGCAAGGTGTCACGCTCAGTACATGAGATGTGAATGACTCTCAGCTGATGCTAAACCAAACTTTAGCTCCTTATTTGTAAAACTGACGGAGTTACAGCTATTTTGGAGTTGGCTGATCTTGATCAACTGTGATGGCCACTTTATTCAAATGTGCATCACATGGTTACGTTCTTAAAAGGTTAATTTAAAAAAATCGATCCAGTGGAGCTCGAGATATTTTGCCAACAGACAGAAAATCACGCACAGAAACTAGGGGAGGAGCAAAATATTAATATAAACCAAACCTTGAAGATTCCACAAAAGTTCAAGCGAAGGCTTTATTATCACTTTTGTTGTTTGAATGTCTAATAAAATTTCTGAGGTTTGACCAGTTTTAGTTTTTCTTGCTTTCTGCTCCAAGTAAGACGTCACTCCTCAGAGCAACCAACTTCAAACCGTATCCTATTAAATCTGTCATGGTGAGCAACTGTTTACATGTCGGAGCAGCTGACTGAGCTTTTTAAAGTTCAACTAACGCCCACGACAAAACTCTAAACCCCTGAGAAGTAGAACAGAAGATGTCAAGGCAGTAAGAAGCAACTTGAACAGAAAAAAAGTGAGTTTACTTTTTCTTTAGCATATTCAATTAAAGTAAAAAGAAAAACAGATCGTCTTGATGATAAAGACAGTGGAAATATCAAAAAGCAGGAGGCAATATATTATAAATTATTTATTATTGTAAACAGGCAAATCCCATTGAGATCACACATTTCTGTTGCAAAGGGCCTGAACATGCATGTTTTGGACTGTATGTCCAAAATGTGCGTTTAACTAAAACATAAATGGAAGAACAATAATTTGAACCTCACTGCAAATATTTTATGACTTTGCAAAAACAGACTACAAGTTAAAGGTAAAGCGTGAAGAATACTGAAGTGCTGAAAATAAGAATTTCATAACTCCACACGTCCCTGTAAATAAGCACATCATCCATGAATACCAAGCTGTTGATTGTTTTTTAAATGTTTACTGAGAGATAAATGGTTAACTTTGTGCAATGTATGATGCGTCCACGAGGGGGCAGTGCAGCACTAAAAATACTCACGTCATTGTTAAGTCGACCTAACAAAACATTTATTTGTTTTTAAGCAACATCGATTTTATTTCGTTAAAATTTTTTCCAATTCATTTTGTTACAACTCCAAACTCATACATTAACTGAAATTACCTAAAGTTTCACCTAATAGATTGAAATTTAAGGCAAAGCCTGTCTAAATGAATAAGTAAATAAAAGACAAATGTAACTTATATTGCGACTGGTTTTAAAAACAAAGAAGCGTTGAATTTTAAATTTGGACGAACTGGTGTAGTTTGTCTAAAATGACACAAACTGAATGCGACAGCCACCAGGCTGGGTGCTGGATTTTCGTAATACTTTTTGCGATACAACACCGTCGGAGTAACATTCGCGTGAAACGCGTATTTAATTTAACACGTCTGTGTTCAAACAGCCTAAAAAGGCTAATGCTAATAGCCCTGCAGCAGCACTCACCATTTTAGACGTGTTGTTCCTGAGAAGTGGAGGTTTCCTCAGGTTGCAGAGGTATGAGCTGCTTGTTCTCCGGATAAACATTAACCCAAACATACCCCCAGTTTAACAGGCTGTCTTTATTCTCCACAACCTGCTCCGCTTTTGTCCTTTGGCCTAGTCGGACTTCTCCATAGGTGTTTATTTCATTGCCTGATTTAAAAAAATTAAACCGTTTAAAGCTCAACTTAAAAAAAAAAAAAAGTACTGTAATCTATTGACATGCATTAAGATCTGTTCAAGTCTTTTAAAATTCTTGTCTTAACATACTTGCTACTTTATTTTTGTTTTATAGCTGTATTACAATTGGCTATTTTGCTTCATTCATGTATTAGCCTTTTGCTTTTTAGCTAGCATTCTGTTACTATCAGCTAGCCTTCTGCTTCACTTGTTTTGCCAATTTTGTTTTTACCTACCATTTGGTTCATTTTAACTTGTAGTTACAGTCTTGCTAAACTTGATAATTGTAGAGTTTAAATGTGGTTTTGCTAAATTTACTTTGTAGCAACTGTTTTGCTAATATTAGCTTTAGGATAGGGTTTAGAACATTTTTACTTTAAGCAACAATTTTGCTAGTTTTGGCTGGTTTAATATGACCTTTTAGTTAAATTGAGCTGTTGAGCTTGTGTTGTGATCGAGTGCATGTTCTGATTGTTTCACTTTATATTTTATTCATTTTAACTTCTGCTTGCTTTAACTTAAAAAAAAATAATCATCAGCTTAAACAACTTTCAGCATCATTTAGCTCTCAACATTCACACTGCACTTTTGCTGAATTTTTTTTTCTTTAATTTAAATCACAACATTTCAAATATTTTATTCCATTCAAACACCTAAAAACATAAGTAGATTCAACATAAAAAAAAAAAAATATTCACATCCTTCTTGACATTTGACCCAAGAGTTCTCAGTCCTGATGCTCATGTTCCTGTCCAGGTATGAGCCAACGAATGTTGTCAGCTTTCAGGATGGCGTAGAGCGTGAACCCAGTGATGAAGAGGATGGAGAAGACCAGGAGCCAGTCGATGCCCTTTACTGGGGTGCTAGGGAGAGGTCCCAGGTGGTCTGCGTCTGTCACATTTTTATATGGATCCACTTCAAACCCTGAAAACAAGCAGGGACTTTTAAGTGATACAGTATACAGTACTTTATAAGCCTTCGTTGAGTGGCATGTTTAGTTTTATAGTACTGTATATAAAATTAGCTGGATTTTAGCTTTAGCACAGCTATAACATTTTATATGACGTTAAAACAAAAGGTCAAGTGAGAGGCGTTTAAATGTTGCATCTGTCAGCCACTTTTAACAGCTTCAATTAAAACGTCACTTTTTATGATAAACCTACTGAACATTTTTGTATTCATGCTCAAAGTTTATTCCAGCAACTCAAGAGATAAAGAGCACAAACGTCAGAAAACTAACGCAAAAGGTGACCCAACTAAGAGAATCGTTATTTCTTGAAATGTGTGAATTTAAAACTTGGCACCACAGTGGTGCAGTTAGAGCTGCTGCCGCTCAACGAGAAGGTTGCTGGATTGAATCCTGACCCAGGGACCCTTCGGTTTGCAAGTTTTCTCCACTCCAGATTCCTCCCACAGACTAAAAACATGCATGCTAAGCTAAATGGTAACTAAATTGTTCCTAGGTGTGAGTGAGAGAGTGAATGGTTGTCTCTATAGCTGCTTTGCCATTGATAAAGCGACTCCACTCAGCTCTTCTCGGTTCTTCTCAGGTGGAGGTGATTTACCACCGTGACTTGTTTCCTCGCTCTGTGGGTGGGATTGTAACAGGTTATGGTGTTGGAGCCGCTCTGCCCATTGTGGACTTAATCGCCCTATAATTGGACTTCACTTTCTTTAGCTTATTCCGACACTACTTGTGGGCAGGCCCTTAACTGGTGCGACGTGGTACGGAACAGATGAAAGTTGAGACAGTGGCAAAGTGCAATTTATGTCCCTGTGATGAACTTGCGACCTGTCCAGGATGTACCCCGCCACTCACACAGTGACTGCTGGACATGGGCACCAGCAACAACCACGACCCAGAAAGGAAGAAGCGGGTAAAGATGATGGATGGAATTAAAACTATATTAGCAGAAAATAACCATTCCCTGAGAAAAAAAAGTTAATATACAGTATGTAACAAAGAGTTGTGAGAGAGCTGTTTCCACACCTGTCTGGTTAGTGATGAAGGAGGTGAGCGTCTCCAGAGTTCTGTCTGTGTGGTTGAAGCGAGCCATGGGTTTGACCCCCTGGAACAGCAGGATGTTAGGAACTGCCACTGTCCCAAACCTTGTGGAGAGACTGGGGAAAGAGGCAGAAGAATGACAAACACGTCACTCTCCACTGCACAAGTCTTTTCAGCATCAAGTGTATAGAGAAGCAAGACAAAAATTATTCAAAAGACTTATTAATGAATATGGTATAGTAATCTTGACAAAATAAACTATAATAAACTCTTCAGAATAGTTTTTTTTTTTTTTGCAGTCAGCAAAGTGCAATAAAACCTAACAGTTGTGAGGATGATGTTTGCATGTACCTGCTGTGCTGTGAAGCATCCAGTGCCAGGAAATGCATGCTGGGAAAAACACGAGGCAGGGCATTGAAGTGAGGCGCCAGGTTGGCTGAGAACTGACACCAGGCTGTGAAGAACAACACCATGGAGCACTCTGTGCTGTTAGCATTAAGGAACTCCATCAGGTCCTGAAAGAAGAGAGAAAAAGACGAGCAACTTGTTTAATTCTCGGAATATGAAACAAGAAAGTGTCTTGATTAACGTTTTATTTATATATCTAATAAAATGCCTACAATTCAACTATGTGCTAAACCATATGTAGCAGATTACTGTAAATATTATAATCTCAAGTATGATGGCTTTGTGCAATTAGAAATTAAGGACACCTCATACAGTGCATATTTAACAACCTGTATTTACTCACAGAAACCAGATCCATCTGACTGTGATTGATCCTAAATCAAAAATTATGCACATGCAAAAAAAAAATAAACAATTTAGAACAGTAACAAACAGAACTGAACTCAAAGAAGCTTACTTTGCCCCCTTTCCAACACCCGAGTCTCATTCATATTTTCTTATCATGTTGTAAACTCAAGTTTCATCAAAGACACAATCACTTGTGCTAAAGAAACTGTTCCTAAACATCTAAGTTTTACCATTTTATTTCCATGAAATCTGATGAACTGCGAGGAAGTAATGGCTAACTTTTGAACTGGTCAGTAACGCGAGTTCACAAGTCTAGAAGAATGCGACAAGAAAGTTGATAAAGAAATAAAGTAAATTAAATTGCACTGGGTTTGAACAGAAGGAAAATGTCCAGGTTGTCCAGCAGCCCACGTCTCGACAGAATCTGGTTGTCCACCAAGATGTTTGGTTGTCTGCAACTTTACAATAAAGGCAAAAAATCTCAAGAAAATATAATTTAATAAGTAGATTGCACTATATACAAATGTGCTCAGTCAGCCATCTTGTGGACTGCATGGACTTTCTAAGCTACTGAGTAGCAGAATCTTTCAGGAGCTGCTTGAGTGGATCTTCCTTGTTTTCTTCATCCTCTTCCTTGTCACCAGACTTTGCAAGAGAGGCACTTGCAGCGTATTTAAGGCAGGGATTAAAGCAGAAAATAATATTTTGACTTTTTCTGGAACTAGAGGTTAGCCCAACACAACTCCTCCCCAATACCAAACGAGAGCTTTTTCCTGCATACAGGTCACTTCTCAAAAATAGGTTATCTAAAATGACATAGATCAAGGGGTGCATATTCTCAATAAACAGCTCTGAAGGAAGCACAGGTACCTGCGAAGCATTGAGGACCTGCACAGTGTAGTTCTCCAGTCCTGTGATGTTCCTCTTGTCACAGTTCACCTTGTAAGTCTTGGCAGTTTCTGTGGTATTCTGCTCCCCAGCTGCTGTGTCTACAGGCACCACCTCAAGACTGACCTGTAGGTAAACAAAGAAATCACTGTTTGAGAATACTTCAAATCACAAAACGTTAAACTGCAAAAAAAAAAAAAAAACATACAGCAAATGAAGAAAATGGAAAACTATAGTGGAAGGCCTGAATCAGAATTTCAGTTATCAACAGCATCACTGTGTGTTTTTATGTTTCCGCTTCTAATTATGTTGTTGAGTGAATAACCTGTTGTACTGTTTGTTCCTGCTCCTCCAGAAATGCTTCGTCAGCAGCCGGAGCAGGTGACCCACACTGAGCGCTGCTCTCATCACAAGGAGGGGAGAAGCTGGACTGGAAGTCTTTCACGTCTTTTGGAAACAGGGAAGCGATCTCAAATGGATCAATCGAAGTTTCAGTCCCCATCACAGCATCTGCAATTTCAGCTGTTTTAAACTGCCTTTTTGGTAGAAGGTCCAGATCTTCTGACTCCACAAACTTGGGGGTGTTTTCCAAGTCTGACACTGTGTCCTCCAGTTGCTCATCTGTATTATCTGATCATAAGTAAAGAAAGAAAGAAAAAAAACAAACATCTCAGTAGATCCATCCAGATTTATGGTCGTTCTTGTAACTATTTGACCGACTGCAATCCAGTAAGTGTTTACTTCTTCTGGTACACTTTATGTAAAGCCATCATACCCAGTATTTCAGCTGAGCATGACCATTATGTGAATGTATAGTTTTTTTCTTCATTCGTATAGAAAAGCAGATGAAATTACAAGAAACCTTTTTTTCCCCAGGTGTCCATATTTGTTATTTTGCTATGACATAATGTCATTGACCTTGGAATTTGTTGTGCAAACATTACAACTAAACTGAATAGGTCTTTTATTTCTGCAAAAACTTTGAGCCTTAAAAACAACTTATTTATAATAATGATAGTTTCCACACAAGATAAATGTTAGCTGGGCATTAGTAAACAACAACTGGCCCAGATCACGCGCATTACATTTAATGACGGAAATGTTTCAGCTTATGCTTGTGTACATTTTCCGATTTAAGTAGTTTAAAACGCCAAATCCATGTTGTTGTTTAACATTAGCTGAGCTAATTTGTAAAAAAAGTACTTGGTAAATATTAAATGTTAAATAACATCACGGTGACCTAACCATACATTAAAAACTTTAACTGTAACGTTGGACTCTAAGTCTAAATCCTAATCTTAAAAGTAGCTAAATTTAACTAATAACGCAAGATATGACGTTGTTTCATACCTTCTGTCGCAGACGAGAGACTAAACACAGCAGAACGATGCAAAACAAACAGTAACACAAACAATAGGTGAATTGAACGATTAATTCTTAACATTTTTCCACTAAGACAACCAATCTAACAGAAAACAGTCAACTGAGTATCACGCCATGTAGGAAAATGATGCTATCGTCCCGAAAAAAATGATTGCAGCACCGGGGGAAGATAATAAACAGTACACCGCAAATGTAGCTTCCGGTGACGTAGTTTCCGTTTCCGTTTAGCCCACGCTCTCTAAAAAAGAGCGTAGATGGATACACACAAACATACATAGTGAATACATGTAAAAAGACTTACTTGGGGTAAATTCCAAATTTGACAGACGCTTCAAATGACTAGGAACATATTGGCATTTATTATCTTGGAATTCAATACAATATTGAACTCGTCAGAGCTTTTGTGTTTATCCGTTGATGCTGAAGATGTAAGGGTAATTCATTTTGCTTTAAAATTATTTGAAGACACAAGATCAATAGGCATTTTAATATGTTCACTGGTACAGTTAAACTGAAACAATTTACAAAGTCGATTGAATTTTTTAATGGAAATTCAGCAATATTTGTATGTAATTCAAAGGATGTGTCTTGATACTTTTTACAAATTCCTTAGGAATAAACAGGAAATTAATTTTCATTCATTCAACTTTTATTTAGGCAGGTTAATCCCATTGAGCCTCGAGGACTCATTTACAAGAGAGACCTGATTTCAACAAAGAATAATGGACAATCATAAAAGAGGCATATATATATATATATATATATATATATACTTTTTATTTTTTTAAACAAATTAAAATAAGAGGGCAAATATAACTAGATCATAAGGCGAAGGTAGAAAACTAAAAACAGGAACATGTCTGCATTGGTCTTTGCCAGGAGTCCAACAGATTCTTCAGGTCAAAAGGTCAAGGTCGAGAGCTTCAGATCTTTTTGCAAGATATTCCAGGAAACAGGAGCGGAGTAGGAGAAGGCCCTGTTGTAATTGTAAATTAACAAAAGTTTTAGAGAAAATCTCACACGATTTTTTTAATTTAAATATATTATATAGACAAAATTACTAAATGAATTATAGCTTGTTTTGCATAATTTTATTGTTGTTTTCAAACATTTACACTCCATTCCGGTTGGGGGCGGTAATTTTATATTTTTGCCTCTTTTCCACGAGAAAATTTCCTGGTAAAAGAAAAAAAGAGATTTTTCTCTTCAGGAAAGAAATTCGTGTGAATCTTTTCGTGACCAGAAACGGAGTGAACAACTCGTGATTCATTAAGAAGCGAGAGCACTTAGCCTGGAGGCTAACTTTGGAACAAGACGCGACCAAATCTTCCTTGACACGATGAATGTTGAACAGAAAATATTGAACATTTTCTACACAAACGAAACAAGTAAGTAAAACCAAAGGGCCGTTCTTTTTTAAATTTGGTACGAGCATTAGCGTTTTACGCACATGCTAACACTTTTTAAACTGTAGTTTGTTTTTTTGTTCGTTTGTTTTTTACCTGTTCGAACCAGAACAGGACCGTGAGACATTTAAATATCCCGCTTTTCATTTCCACTTGAACCAGAGAAACACTGAAATGGCCACTGACGCGGCCAGGCGAGAATTTTAGCAGCCATATTGAGAAGTCCTTTGTGTCACTGTACTGTTTACATCTGGAAGCTGCACGTTATTAACTTCCTTTTCTAGCTGTATGCTGCCCTTAAACGCTCGGAACAACACCTGTTATACTTAAGTAAGCACATAAGATGGATAATGTAAAAATAGAAGACACCAGAATATTGTAATGAGCCTCCAAACAAGCCTCAGCAAAACACAGACTTGATCTCCCATTGCTGTAAAAATTAAATTCAGTTCATGTACTACGACAGAGCTTTAGGGCCACGCTAAGAAAAAAAAATTACATTACGAGAAAAAAGTAATGAAATTATGAGAATAAAGTTGTAATATTACAAGAATTAAGTTGTATGAGAATAAAGTCATAATATTATGAGAATAAACTCATAATACATCCTGGGTCTGCTCGCACCTGCTATGGACAGCCTCCAATGCGAGTCACTGTGTTTATGAAGTAGTCCGCAATCACTTTTGGGTCACTGAAATATGCCTCCATCCACATTATGGGACGACTAAAGCTGTCAATGCAGGCTTCAGTTTATCATAAGAATCCATATGCCACAGTGCGTTGAGCACCCTGATATTGTACTGCCCGCATCAACATTCATAATTTTACTGCAGTTGTAAGACTGCGTTTTCGTCTGATAATATTACAACTTTATTCTGGTAATATTATGAGTTTATTCTCATAATATTATGACTTTATTCTTGTATTGTTTCTACTTTATTCTTGTAATACTACAAATTTATGCTTGTATTATTTCAAATTTATTGTGAACAGTAATAGGATCTAAGATATAAACCTAGAAATACGCTAAGAATACACTAAGCACAAATAGTACAAAAACAATACGCCGAACAATAGCAGCATGGCTGCTTCTGTTTGGCTGCAATTCAAGCACTAATTCTGTATGGATAGGTCTCAATCAGTTTTGCACATTGGTACACTGGAACTTTAATTTTGAAAAATGAGTGAAGCAGTAAATCCAGTTTACTCAGTGCCACAACAATATATGATGTGTGTGTAAATGTTAATATTGTCCTTTATTAACATGTGTTTCAGTGTTCCCTGGACAAGATCAACAGATGGTGCTGATAAAAGTAGCTCGTGAAGAATGGAGGCCAGGTGTGGACCAGCAGAACACAGAGTCACCCACCACAAGAGATGAAGAGGAGATACCATGGACTAGTGTGGAGGGAGACCAACTAATCGATCAATCTTTGAGCTGTTCTGAGTGCAGTGAGCAGGAAGTTAACTGGTCTCCTCAGAGTCCTTCAGAAGGAACATCTTCAAGCTGTTTGGGTAAAAGGAAATTTGTTAACGTAAAGAAAAATCGGGAGTCACAGAGGAAAGTCCAGACAAAACCAAAATCTTTCAGTTGTGAACACTGTGGCAAAAAATTTACGGGCAAAGCAAATCTAAACAAGCACAAGAGAGTCCACACCAGAGACAAGTCCTGTGAAACTTGTGGCCAAAGGTTTAGTACAACCTTAAACGCACACCTGAGAATCCACTCTGAGCACAAAAAGTTTCCTTGTGATGTTTGTGGACAAAGTTTTAAGCAAAAGGCACATTTAAACGCACACGTGAGAATCCACACGGGAGAAAAACCATTTCCCTGTGATGTGTGTGGCCAAAGGTTTAGTCATAGTACAACATTAAAAGCACACATAAGAATCCACACAGGAGACAAACCATATCCTTGTAATGTTTGTGGACAAAGATTTGGCCATATGACAAATTTAAATGCCCATGTGAGAATCCACACAGGAGACAAACCATTCTCATGTGAAGTTTGTGGACAAAGGTTTAGCCAAAAGGCGCATTTAAACTCGCACACAAAAATCCACACAGGAGACAAACCATTCTCATGTGAGGTTTGTGGACAAAAGTTTAGACAAAAATCATATTTAAAGTCACACATGAGAATCCACACAGGAGACAAACCGTTTTCCTGTGATGTTTGTGGTCAAAGGTTTAGCCAGAAGTCAAATTTAAACAAACACATGAGAATCCACGCAAAGCAGTCTAGCTGTAAAAATGTTTAAACAGTTCCTGGAGACCCACTTGAGAGGTCACAGGACTGAAAGTGCTCAATTCCAAGGTTTGTAGCGTGGGAATTTGTGGTCAGTTACCACAAATACTGTCCTAATCTGTATGTGGTGTGTTCTGAATGTTGTGTACAATTTTTTTTATTTATTTATACTTTTCTGTGTTCAAAATTGCCTTTCTGGGATAATGATTGACTTTTTTTACAGTTTTTATGTGTACACTTTTATTTCTCATATCTTTTGTTTTACTATTCACATTTTGTTCTTAAAAACGTCTCAAATAAACAAACCTCTTCAGTTGTGTGAGACAGTAGTTCCAGTTTTTTTATGAATTAATACAAACTGAAAGGTCCAACTGTGTTGCTGCTGCTTGAAACTACACATTGAAAAGATTTAGTATATAAAAACATTGTCATCCAAATAAACATAAAATTTGAAAAATAAAGTAAATGTCTATCAATACTTTTGAGTGCACTGATGATTTTGAAGACATTAAATTTAGTTGTTTCAATATTTTCAAGGAAATCAACAAATTTCCTTAAAAAATACAAAACTGGCTTCAGTGATGTAAAGGTACTGAGCTAGAATTTATTAGCTGAGAGGCATTCACAACATGTACTTCAAGCCTCAACAGATTACGTGAAACCAAATGATTTATTTGTCATAAAATTGTGCATAATGTCATTTTCAAGTTTTAGCCAAACCAACTACAACGTGTTTTCAGCATAGTCTAAATGTTTGGTGGGTAAAATGCATTCCTTCAAAGACTGCTAGGCTTTTATGAAATATTTTTTAATTTAAAAAAATTATACATTTAGGCATTTTTATGTCTTACACTACCTGTATATCCAGATAAATTTATTTAAAAAAAAGAAGTATTTTTACATTTTATTTTTCTCTTAACTTTCTGAAATGAGATTAGTGTTTTTATCCCATATTGGAGCTTACCCTTAATTCAAAAAGAAAAGAGGTTTAAGTTCAAAGTCCCAACAACAAACAAACTTCAAGTGATGATGTGGGAATCCATAGGTGTCACATCAACTACATATATGTATATGTAAAGGGCACATGTCCTCCTCACATTTAAAAAATATTTGTTTGGATGTTTGACTGAGTTACAGCTGCTTCTGTGCAAGTTGATTGGCAGTGGTCGCCATGTTGATTGGGGCCGACTTCAAAAGATGAATGAACAAATTGCACTTTGTGAACAAAGTTTCATAACTTCTCCCCCACCATAACTCTCAGTACTGGCTCCCCTCAGGGCTGTGTGTTGAGCCCACTCCTATTCACTCTTCACGACTGTGCACCTACCCATCCAGGCTGTCATACTGTAACGTTTGCAGACAATGCGGTGGTTGGATGCATCACAAACGATGACGAGTCCAGATACAGGCAGGAGGTGGAACACCTCGAGAGCTGGTGCATGAAGAACAACCTCCACATCAATGTGAATAAGATGAAGGAGATGATTGTGGATTTCAGAAAGAGCAAACAGAGTTACCTTCGTCCCCAAACAGGAGGATCTGCGGTGGAAGTACTTGGGTGAGCACCTGAATGACAACCTCAGCTGGAGCAACAACACTAACATTCTGATCAAGAAAGCACAGCAAAGATTTCCTCAGACGGCTGAGGTGAGCTGGACTGGGAAGCTTAGTCCTCACTTCCTTCTACAGGTGTGCAGTGGAGAGCATCCTGTGCTCCAGCATCAACGTGTGGCTCAGGGGCTGCACAGCTGGAGAAAGAAGCTCTGCAGAGAGTGGTGAAGGCTGCACAGAAGGCTGTCAGAGTCAGTCTCTCCACCAGACATCTACACTTCCAGATGCAGGAATAGGGCCACCTGCATCGTGCAAAATGCTAACAAAAACAGGAACCTGCTAGCTAAGACCCAGAAGAAGCAAAATGTTAGAAAACAGCAGGAAAATCAAGGTTAGAGTCCGAAGTAACTGTTGAACAAATTCAACAAAAAAATCCATCAAATTGTTAATTGCCCACCAAAATTTAACACAAGAAGAGGATGAATATAAAAATCTGTTCTGCATCAAATTACAAAATAATTCAAAAGAGCATAATATAAGGAAATGTGAACATGATGGGAGAGCTAATAAATAAATGGTATTATCAGAGTCAGAGTTTCTTTATTGTCATTCGCACCTCATGTGGTACATGTGGTGGAGCGAAATTATGTACACAGGGTCCCAGTTACATCCAACAATAAAATGTATAAGAAAAACAGTAATAACATCTAAGATATGAACTAAGAAAAACATCAACTAAATATACACTAAGCACTCATAACATAAAACATTGAACATCAGCACAAACATGAACATGAGTCTGTGTGAGCAGATGTGCACGCATGAACACATCAACATTAAAACAGATCAGCAGCAACATGAAACAGATCAGCAGCAACATGATATGGTTTTTCACAGTGATTATTCTAGTTAGAGATTCATAAGTCTAACAGCCTCAGGGTAGAAGCTGTTCCTCAGTCTAGTGGTTCTACACTTAATGCTCCTTAACCTCCTTCCTGAGGGGAGTGGGGCAAAAAGTGTGTGTGCTGGGTGAGTGGGGTCCTTCATGATGCAGCTGGAGACCACTTCCACCGCAGATCCTCTTATGTTCAGGGGGGTGTAGGTGTTTTTGTTCCTTCTGAAGTCCACAATCATCTCCTTTGTCTTCTTCACATTGATGTGAAGGTTATTCTCTCTGCACCAGCTCTCCAGGTGTTCCAATTATGACAGAAATATTAGAGAAGTCTGAAGAGAATTTAAAAAGATTAAAGAAAACTTTAGCATGTTAGACACACAACAGAAGAATACTGGATAAAACATACAAATGATAACTACTTTTTAAACAAAACTGATTAATAGAATTTGACTTTCTATTTTATAAATACACAAAGTTTAGATAAGAAACCATAAGACACACTCCGTACCACGTGGTGGCGGTGTAGCACCAAACAGTTGTTTACAAACCGGAAATAAATACAGAAATAACTACACGAAGAAGAGTCTGAGCTGGAAAAAATTCAGAAAAGAAGTAGCCATGAAAGCTAACAACAACAAATATTAAATCATGTCATCTGGACAAGTTTCTTTAGGGGAGAAACGTCTCATCTTTCATCGGAAAGACTTCTTCAGTCTGAGGCCTGCTAACCCATGAAAGCTAACCTTTAGGTGGCCAGGAACGAGCGGACATATCGTGATTTGACACCCGCTGTTAGCCTGTTAGCGTATTAGCCTGTTAGCCCTAATTTTTGAAGAAACAGGACTGATCCTCTCATTTGTACCACAGGCTGAGTGGACATCACTCAACCCTGAGCATTTTCAACACTTTTCAGCTCACACAAGTAAGTAAAACCAAAAAGTCGTTATTCTTGGAGGTTTCTAAGCAGACCACTGCTAAGAGCTCAACTACTGTACATCGATACATGTAGAAGTCTGCTTTTAAGCTGTTTAGGTGGCCCCCACTTTCCGACTGCGGTCAAGTCCATTGTCTCCTTTTATAGTACAGTTTTTGCCAATATAATAATTTCAGCTATCCTAAAGACCATTAGTCTTGTCAATCAGCAATGTAGCTGTTACCTCAAGCATAATTCGTGCAATGCAATTTTTTTATTAACGTGTTTTATAATTTTCGCTCTACATGACAAGTACTTTTAAATCTAGATTTTTTTTTAAAGTAGCTTAAAGGAATACACTTGAGACATTTGCTCGCTTAACAGTCATAACATTACATTTAGATGTTTCAAATTTGCAAATATCTTTTAAATGTTTTATCTGCGTGATAAAGATGTTATGAAAATCCAGCATTCATGTTCAGACAAGTTCAGTTGAATTACAATTTCAGACACAACAATAACCAGCGAAACATATAAACACAAATATCTGTGAAGACATTTTGTCCATCAATGAATGAAGAACAAAATGGGATACGATTTTATCTTAAAACGAGTAAAATGAAAATAACTAGTACAAAATGCAGTCATATATTTTTTTTTTCTTTACAGGAAAATATACCACAATTAACATAATAAAAATCGATTTATTGTATTATTTACATGTGTTTCAGTGTTCCCTGCACAAGTTCAACAGTTGGTTCTGATTAAAGTAGAAACTCCTGATGTGGACCAGCAGGACCCGGCGTTACTCAACATAAAAGAGGAAGATGATGAACCCTGGACCAGTCTGGAGGAAGGGGATCAACTCAGTGTGAAAGAGGAAACTGATGTCCCCATATTTTCAGTCACTCCGTTTCCTTTGAAAAGTGAGGATGATGAAGAGAAGCCTTCATTCTCACACCTTCATCAGCACCAAGTAGAAGACAAAAATATTCCAACCAGCAGCTCGGCTAATTGGATGGATGCAGCAGCTGTTGGAGAGGATTGTGGAGGTGGAGAAACTCCCTGGAACTCAAATGTAAAGATTCACAAAGATGATTTCAGTCCTTCAGAAACTGACGTCAGTGAGGATGATGAGGATGGGGACTTGTCAGACTCTGGGCCAAAAGTTGAAGACACTAACAAAGACTGGAAGGAGAGCAGATCTGCTTCTGGCATAGATACCGTCAGCAAATCTTTGAGCTGTTCTGTGCGCAGAGAGCAGTATGTCAACAACCAGTCTCTTCAGAGTCACATGACATGTCATTCAGACGTAAGGCCTTCAAGCTTTAATAAGAAATGTGTTGAAATTAATAAAAATGTGGAGTCGCACAGAAAAGTGCAGGCAAAACCAAGAATGTTTAGTTGTGATGTCTGTGGGAAAAGTTTTGCTTATAAATCAAAAATAAATGCACATGTGAGAAGCCACACGGGAGATAAACCATTTCCTTGTGATGTGTGTGGCCAAAGGTTTAGTTATAGTACAAGTTTAAAGGCACACATGAGAATCCACACAGGAGACAAACCATATCTCTGTAACGTTTGTGGACAAAGATTTAGCCATATGACAAATTTAAATGCCCATGTGAGAATCCACACAGGAGACAAACCATTCTCATGTGAATTTTGTGGACAAAGATTTAGCCAAAAGGGACAATTAAACTTGCACACAAAAATCCACACAGGAGACAAACCATTTTCATGTGAGGTTTGTGGACAAACGTTTAGACAAAAATCATATTTAAACTCACACATGAGAATCCACACAGGAGACAAACCGTTTTCCTGTGATGTTTGTGGTCAAAGGTTTAGCCAGAAGTCAAATTTAAATAAACACATGAGAATCCACACAGGAGACAAACTCTTTTCCTGTGATGATTGTGGACAAAGCTTTAGCCAGAAGTCAAATTTAAGCAAACACATGAGAATCCACACAAAGGAAAAAAATGAGTCTAGCTGTAAAAATGTTTAAACAGTTCCTGGAGACCCACTTTTCATTCAACCTTTATACACGTTAGCCTCATTGAGCCATGAGGAATCATTTACATGAGACCTGTTGGACCACTTGAGAGGTCACAGGACTGAAAGTTCACGGTTAGTTCCAAGGTTTGTAGCGTGGAAATTTGTGATCATTTACCACAAATACTGTACTAATTTTTATGTGTTGTGTTCTGAATGTTGTGTACAATTTTTTTATTTATTTATACTTGTCTGTATACAAAATTTCCTTTCAGGGATAATGATTTACTTTTGCTGTTACAGTTTTTATGTACACATTTATTTTTCTCATATCTTTTGTTTTACAATTCACATTTTGTTCTTAAAAACGTCTCAAATAAACAAACCTCTTCAGTTGTGTTAGACAGTAGTTCCAGCTTTTTATGAACAAATACAAACTGAAAGGTCCAACTGTGTTGCTGCTGCTTGAAACTACACATTGAAAAGATTTAGAGTACTTTACATTAAGGCTCCCCTTATAGATGGCTAATAAATAGTTTATAGATACATTAATTCCTCTATAAACACTTTATAAATCATTAATAACTGTTTATTATGCATTAATTAAGGGTGACAGTGAGACAAAACTGACCAGTTTGTTGCCAAATAGTGAGCCAAATCTTTTCACCTATATATTTCATCTAGAGTTGTTATATTAAACATTTCAGACTAAGTTACTACCTTAAGCACAATAAGCATTTGTAAACCTATTTCTTTTGCATATAGTACTTTTTATCACTGCATTATAAGTATCTACAACTCATGTCCTAAAAAAAAACTACAAATGCTTATTGTGCTTACAAAGTAGTAACTTGGTCTGAAATGTTTAATATATACAGTAGGTGGCATATTTGGTTCACTATTTGGCAAGAAACTGGTCAGTTTTGTCTTCTGTCACCTCTAATTAACGCGTAATAAACAATTATTAATGATTTATAAAGTGTTTATAGAATAATTAATTAATAATGTATCTATAAACTATTAGCCATCTATAAGGGAAAACTTATTGTAAAGTGGTGCAAGATTTGGTATATTAAAACATTTTCATCCAACTACAGCAAATTTGAAAAATAAAGTGAATGTGTATCAATACTTTTGAGTGCAAGGATGATTTTGAAGTCATTAAATTTAGTTATATTAATAGATTTTCAAGGAAATCAGCAAATTTCCTTAGAAAATACATAACTGGCTATACTTCAGAGACTTGACGTAAAGTTAAAATTTGTTAGCTGAAAGGCATTCACAACATATACTTCAAGCCTCAACAGATTATGTGAGATCAAATGATTTATTTGTCATAAAATTGTGCATAATGTCATTTTCAAGGTTTAGCCAAAATGGCTGCAACTCCAGTTTTCAACAGTCTAAACATGTTTGGCCAGTGAAATGCATTCCTTAAAGGATTGCCAAACTTTTATAAAAAAAAGGTTTTATTTTGTTAAAAAAAAAAAATGGAGTAATTTTTATGTCTTGCACTATATCCAGATAAATTTATTTAAAAAAAAGAAAGTATTTTTACATTTTATTCTTTCTCTTAACTTGCTGAAACAAGAGGTTAGTGTTTTTATCTCATATTTGAGCTTAACATGAACTCAAAAAGAAGAGGTTTAAGTTCAAAGTCCCCAATATCAAACAGATTTCATGTGATGATGTAGGAATCCATAGGCGTAGCGTCAATTATATGTGATGGGGGCGTGTCCCCCTCACATTAAAAAAATATTTGTTTGGATATTTGACGGAGTTACAGCTGTTTTTGTGCAAGATGATTGGCAGTGGCCTCCATGTTGACTGGGGCTGGCTTCAAAAGTTAAATCAGATGTAGATGTAAAAGGAGCATGTTTAAATTGTAACATTAGCAAAAATACCTAAAAATGAAGAATAAGTTTGAACTTGGGTTACAAAAGTTCAAATGTGCAGAAAAGCAGTAATTAGCTAAAATAAAGTTAAAAGTAGTGTGAATAATAGGAGGGCGTGGTGGTACAGAGGTTAGAGAAGGTGTGCCTGTGATTGGAAGGTTGCCGGTTTGACTCCACGGATCGACAACATCCAAATGTGGGTGGAAAAGGCCTCCACCCTCATTTTCCCCACTCTGGGCCCTTGAGCAAGGCCCTTAACCCCCACCATCTTCAAAATGAGTCCTTGACTCAATGAGACTACCTATATAAACAAAGTTTAAATACATTTAACAAAAGGCACAAGTAGAAAACAAGCTAGTGTAAAGCAAAAATACAAATGTTAGCTAAGAGCCAGAAGTAGGGCAGCTGTGGCTGAGTGGTGAGAGCAGTCGTCCTCAAATGCAAGAGTTGGGGGTTTGATTCCTGCAACAGTCACATACCGACTTGTCCCTGGCCAAGATACTAAACCCCTCATTGCCTCCGATGTGTGTCCCATCATTGTATGAATGTGATGAATGATTATTCTTGTATAGATATAGTAGAGTGTTGTATGAATGGGTGAGGGCACAGATTGTGTTGTAAAGCACTTTGAGTATCTTAATAAGATAGGTGCTATATTACAGTGGCCGACAGGTGCAAAGGCCACAGTAATGTACAAGTATAGTCCATTTACCATTTAGGAAAATATTAGCAAGTACTGTAACAGGAAAAAACTACATTACAACGATAAGTAGTGAATATATATAAGAAATAAAGAAAAGACAATTCATAAGTAGCAAAATGCTAACAAAAAAGCAAGAAAATTAGCAGTGTAACCCTTTCACCACCTAGCAGGACAATGCTCGCTAAGACCCAGAAGAAGAAGAAGAAGAAGAAGAATGTTGGTCAGAAGTAGCTGATGAACAACTTAGCTGCCTTTTTATTGTTTTAAACATTAACATTGTTAAAAATCCCTTATTATATGTAGGAAATGAGAAAGACAAATGTTCTAAAGTTATTTTGGGATGTTTTGGGGAAGAAAACTTAGCAGAAAGAATATACTTTGTTTTAGCAAATAGTTAGAAATTGTCATTCACATCAAATTCACCACAATGGTGATGCCAACCACAAATTAGCACAAGAAGAGGATGAATAAAAAAACTGTTCTGCATCAAAATAGCAAAAAATATAAAAAGAGCATAACACGACGGGGGAACTGAAACATAAATAAATGGTATATGAAATATTAGGACGAGAAATCTGAAGAAGAGAATTTGAAAAAATAAAGAAAAGTTTAGCATGGTAGACACACTACAGAAGAACTTATGGATCAAACACATACAAATAATAACTAGATTTTTTTTAAAGCAAAACTGATTATTAGAATTTGCCTCTGTATTTTATAAATACTGTACACGAAGTTTAGATAAGAACTCATCAGCCACACTCCGTACCACCTGGTGGCAGTGTTGCATCAAACAGTTGTTTGCTAACCGCAAATAAATACCACACGAAGAAGAGTGAGCAGCGAAGGCTTCCATGAAAGCTAACAACAACAAAGCTTAAATCATGTCATCTGGACAAGTTTCTTTAAGAGAGAAACGTTTCGTCTTTCATCCGAAAGACTTCTTCAGTCTGAGAACTAACTCATGAACGCTAACCTTTTGGTAGCCAGGAACAAGCGGACAACTCATGTTATCCCAGACCCGCTGTGTTAGCCTATTAGCAAGTTAGCACATTAACCTATTAGCATATTAGCCTGTTAGCCCTTATTTTGAAGAAACAAGACCAAATCCTTTCACCTGCACCACAGAATGAGTGAACATCACCGAACCCTGAGCATTTTCAGCATTTTCTACAGCAACTAACACAAGTAGGTAAAACTAAAGAGTCGTTCTTGGAAAGATTAAACACATTTCTAAGCAGACAACTGCTAAAATTATCTCAACTACATCGATATAAACATGTAGAAGTCTGCTTTTGCGCTGTTTAGGGGGCCGCCATAAAAAATAATCCATTGTCATTCTTTTATGGTACTTTTTTGCCAATATAATAATTACAGCTATCCTAAAGACTTAATCTTGTCAACCATAAATTTATCTGTTACCTCAAGCATAAATCTTGCTGTGTATTTTTTTTTATAATGTGTATTATAATTTTAGCTCTATGACAAGTGCTTTTTTAAAATCTAGATTGGTTTTTAAAAGTAGCTTTAATTAGAAGAAATAAACTGTGAGTAGTAAACAGCCATCAGTGTGCTAATGATCCATTGTTAGGCTGATGGTCCTTCTTGAGCATGTGATCAGCTGGTTTTGGTTGTCAGCAGCAAACTGGTTGATCCACTCTAAGAAGGTGCTATTTAAGAGACTGAGCTGAAAACAGCACCTCAGACTGAGGAAGTCTCTCGGATGAGAGACAAAACGTTTCTAGATTTTTTTGCTTTGTTTTGTTTTTTGTTTTTTTGAATGTCCAGAGGACCAGATTGAACTTTTTTGGATTTTTCTACCTGGATTATTGAGCATGCATCAGGATAAGAAATAAACTTCAGACATTTACACTCTTAACAGTCATAACTTTACTTTTAGATGTTTAAAATAAATATTTTTGAAAGTATCTCATAAATGTTTTATCTGTGTGAAAATATGTTATAAAAATCCAGCATTGGTGTTCAGACAAGTTCAGCTGAATTACAATTTTGGACACAATTAAATCAATAACCATCGAAACATAAATATCTGTAAAGATATTTTGTGCATCAATGAAGAACAAAATGGGATGCCATTTTATCTTAAAACAGGTGAAATGAAAATAACTAGTACAAAATGCAGTCATATATTTTTTTGTTTTCTTTACAGGAAAATATACCACAATTAACATAATAAAAATTGATTTAATGTATTATTTACATGTGTTTCAGTGTTCCCTGCACAAGTTCAACAGTTGGTTCTGATTAAAGTAAAATCTCCTGACGAGTGGAGGCCTGATGTGGACCAGCAGGACCCGGGGTTACTCAACATAAAAGAGGAAGATGATGAACCCTGGACCAGTCTGGAGGAAGGGGATCAACTCAGTGTGAAAGAGGAAACTGATGTCCCCATATTTCCAGTCACTCCATTTCCTTTGAAAATTGAGGATGATGAAGAGAAGCCTTCATTCTCACACCTTCATCAGCACCAAGTAGAAGACAAAAGTATTCCAACCAGTAGCTCAGCTGATGGAGAGAATTGTGGAGGAGAAACTCCACTGAACCCAAATCTAAAGACACGCAAAGATGATTCCATTTCTTCAGAAACTGAAGTCAGTGAGGATGATGAGGACTTGTCAGATTCCGGACCAAATGTTGAAGACACTAACAAAGACTGGAAGGAGAGCAGATTTCCTGATTCTGGTATAGATACTGTCAACAAATATTTGAGCTGCTCTGTGCGCAGAGACCAGTTGATCAACAACCAGTCTTTTCAGAGTCAAATGACATGTCATTCAGACGTAAGGCCTTCAAGCTGTTTATTTAATAAGAAATGCGTTGAAATGAAAAAAAATGTGGAGTCACACGGAAAAGTGCGGACAAAACCAAGATTTAGTTGTGATAACTGTGAAAAAAGTTTTGCTTACAAGTCACAAATAAATAGACACATGAGAACCCACACTGGAGATAAACCATTTCCCTGTGATGTTTGTGCGGAAACGTTTAGGCAAAAGGCACATTTAAAGTCACACATGAAAATCCATACTGAAGAAAAAACATTTCCTTGTGATGATTGTGGCCAAAGATTTACCCGAATAATACAATTAAAAAGACACATGAAAATCCACACAGGTGACAAACCATTTGTTTGTGGTGTTTGTGGACAAAGATGTATCCAAATGTCTCATTTAACCATACACTTGAGGATTCACACCGGAGACAAACCCTTTCATTGTGATGTTTGTGGACAAAGATTTAACAAAAAGGTAGCTTTATACACACACACAAGAATTCACACAGGAGACAAACCGTTTCTGTGTGATGTTTGTGGGAAAAAATTTAATGAAAAGTCATCTTTAATCAAACACATAAGAGTTCACACGGGAGACAAACCGTTTATGTGTGATGTTTGTGGAAAAAAATTTCACGACAAGGCATCTTTAAACAAACACGCAAAATTTCACACTGGAGTCAGATCGTTTCTTTGTGATGTTTGTGGACGAAAATTCAGCACAAAGTCAAATTTAAAAAGTCACAAGAGATTCCACACAAGAGACCAGCCGTTTTCATGCGACATTTGTGGACGAAAATTTAGCAATAAATCAAATTTAAACAAACACATAAGAATTCACACTGGAGACAAACCGTTTATTTGTGATGTTTGTGGAAAGAATTTTCACGAAAAGGCATCTTTGAACAAACACACAGTAATTCACACTGGAGACAAATCGTTTCTTTGTGATGTTTGTGGGCTAAAATTCAGCAAAAAGGCTAGTTTAAATAATCACAGGAGAATCCACAAAAGAGACCGGCTGTTATCATGTGACATTTGTGGACGAAAATATAGCAGTAAGTCAAATTTAAACAAACACATAAAGCTGCACAAGAGCTGAACCATTTCCTTGTGATATTTGTGGAAAAAGGTCAAGCAAAAGGCACATTTACTGTATACTCGCATGAAAATCCACACGGGAGAAAAAACGCTTTGACGTTTGTAGACAAAATGCTTATAAAAAAATCAGATTTACGCAAACATGTCAGCATTCTCAGAGAAAAAAACAGATTCACTGTAAAAATATTGAAACAATTTAGAGACCCACGTAAGAGGTTACAGACCTGAAAGTGCATTCCCAAGGTTTGTTGTGTGGAAGTTCATGGTGTTTCCACATTTATTGACTTCATTTGTTTGATGTATTTATTGTACAAGTTTTTCATTCATTCTTAATGTCTTCCTCTGCCTTTAAGGGATAACGGTTGACGTTGACTTGGATTTGACTGAGTTTGTGTATATATCAGATTTTTCTCATCTTTTGCAAAACAATTCAGTTTTATGTTTAAAAACACAACTCATAATAAACCACAGACCTCTTTAGTTGTAATAACAGGTAGTTCCAGCTGTTATATGAAAAATTACTGATTACACTATAACCCATATTGTGTCAAAAAAAAAAAAACCTTGTTACTCAGACTAAAACTGAAAGTGTAATCACAAGACTCAGAATGTGTTTGTAGAATAAATGTTTGGATGAAAATGTCTTATTTTATTAACATTTCTTCTCCCCTTCTTTAGTGTCCAGCCTCTTGTACAACTCATGCACCCATTTTACCTTTACTTCCTCCCTTATGCTGCATTATTTAAATATTCCTAACTATTCACTACTGACTGATCACAACAATTAGGTGCAAAGTCTAGTGTGGCTGTTGACAGTAAATGTAAATGGACTGTACTCAAAGCGCTTTACACAACAATCTGTGTGCTCATCTACCCATTCATACAGCACTTTACTAAATCTCTACAAAGCTAATTGAACAAATCATTCTAGAGACTAATCAGAGCTTTTATCACATTCATACACCGATGGGACACACATCGGAGGCGATGAGGGGTTCAGAGTCTTGCCCAGGGACACTTCGGCATGTGACTGCTGGTGGATTTGAACCCCCAACTCTTGCATTGGAAGACGACTGCTCTAACCACTCAGCCACAGATGTATGTATGTATGTATGTACCCCCATTTGTTCAGAAAGAATCACTGATTTTAGTAAGCATTTAAAAAAGGTAAGTTTATTTGAACAAATCATAAACGCACTGTGGAAGAGTTCAGCTTAAAGTATTTTACAAGAAACATTTTAAGAAAGACGTTTTTCTCACCACTTTAGTTTTTTTAGCCTCAAACAAACTTGTGTGAAATATCAGAACAGAAAAGGCAGAACATCTGAAATAAATTGGAAGTTGAGTTTCAATTAAACTCTGAAACAGTCTTATTTGCCAACAAGCAAAAAAACAAAACAAAAAAAAAAAACAAAAGTTCTTTGTCTTCTTTTTTTGTTCAAAAATCTATTTGATTTTGGTCAAAGCTGCAGCTCTCCTCTCTGTGTTCTGAAACAAAGCTCGGATCAGACTCTTCACCTCCGAACTGGAGAACTCCACCGCCAGCGGACCCTTCCCATCAGCCCACCTGCAGAGAACAAAGCGCGAGAGCTGAAACCGCTGTATTCAAGTTGTTTTAAAATACTAAAATGCCTTTTAATAAAACAAAATCTATTTTTGTCAGTTCTTCAGGTCAAATAATTCCTCTTTTCATGTTTTTACTCATTCAACATAAATCCTGAAAATTCTGCTCCGTACCGATCAACAATCTCCTGCAGGTTTGCCCGCAGCACGATGACAAGCTCTTTGAAAGTGCCCCACTTCTTCACATAGAGGGCCACTTCCTCCTGATATTTCCTATTTTTGTTCTCTTCAGCCAGAGGGATGAAGACCAGCGGACCTTCCTCAATGACGCTTTGGCACAAGGTGTGGAGGTGCTCCCCATCCTCAGAGGAAATATCCTGGAGGCAATAATACCAAAATATAAATTAATCGTTTTTTTCTGGATTCTATAAACAAAAAATGAAATCAGGAAAAACCACAACACCTGCATAAAGATATCTTGTTTTTAGGTTATTGTTATATTCAAAATATCTCAAGAGCGCCTCTGTATTTTTTAAAACTGGGCCTACAGTACATTATTGTAGAAGAGTAATAAAAACCAACCTCAAGCATCATGATTTTGGCAATAATCTCTGAAACAGCCGTGTTGAGGAGGTTGCCCATGGCTTTACAATAGATGCTGACAGGGAGGACGTCCTGCCACACCGTCCCCAGCTGCTTCAGCTGATGATTGACCTGTGATCAGATAGAGAGAAATCTGTACAGCGATAATCTGCGTAGAAATGAAAATAAGCTGGGTTTTCAAACATTAAAAAATATATATTTTTCTGACGAGAAAAATGCACGAAGGAGGTGGGGTCACCACAGACAATTATTGCCAGATCAGTTGGACGGCCATGGCTTTGTTGTTTTAGATCAAACCTTAATGCAAGAATAACAGTGAAGAAAATGGGGATGTTAATGGATTACGCCTCTATGATCTGTGCCACATGATGAGGTAATTGTAGACGTGAGCTACGCCATAATTAAAACAGAGATTTATTGAATTTGTCTGAGAGTTTAACAGCGGTTAGACTGTGCTGAATAACAGCTGATCTGTGACAAGAAACCCCACAGTGACTCTTCATTTTGTCTATTTCTGATTGTCAAATGAAACCAGAGTTCATATTTCAAAATTAGAACCAATAAGTTTTTTTTTTTTGGTTTGCTTTACACAACTAACACTGACTTCGACTTGTGATTTATCTTAAAATAAATATTTATTTTACAATATATTTTAACCGTACCATGTCTTTTCTTATTATAAGCTTGTAGTTTTGATAATTTGAACAAATAACTCAGAATTTTTTTTGTTTTGATGGGCAATAAAATGACGACGCTGACCTGCGTTGGCCAACCTGTTGTCGAGTGCTCAACATATTTGTCCATTCGTCCAACCCATTCTCTTTAACAAATGTAGCACTCTTGCAGTAAACTTTTTTCACATTTTACGTGCATGGGTAGTGGTTATAAAACTGTTAGTTAAAACCAGGATAGAAAAAAAAAAAACATTAAGAAAATTCATGGGAATAAGATGCACTGTTATTACTGATCTAGCGATCTATGATTGATTTTTCTGGTCTTGCAGTTCAAAGGTCACAGAATGATGCTGTAGAATAATACATTTTAAATGCATTTACTTTAATGTTACTTTTCTGACTACAAGTGTTTATAGACTTTAGAGAGTGGTACCGTTTTAAAGTTTATGTTTTGAGAGTTTATTTACCGATCGTGTCTCGATTAGTCATGTCTGAACTAGCACAGGTGGAACGTGTCGCTTCTGCTCACCCGTTACAACACTGGACGTTTCCCCTTTACAGGTAAAAAATTCTGACCGTTACCAGTTTTATAACTATATTTATGGTCATGAGTTTAGAAAACAAGTAGGGAATGCCTGCAGTAACCTTAACAGCTGGAGTAAATGTGGCTTTGCTAAGAGTTTTACTCAACATAGTTTTCTTGCCAACTGTGTCCCTTGGCACAGACATTGCCGTGCAGGCATACCCACAATGTTTGTGTGCAATGTTCAGAACTCAGGGAAGATATATTTTGTTGTTAAAATGTTGTTATATTGTTTTATTTCTGACTCCCCGACGGCCTCGGAACAGGTCGACTATCAAATTTCTCCTATCGCTTTTCATCTATCCTCTCACCTGTCTTACTGCTTTGCTGGCTGCGGTGTAGTTCTTTTCATCATCCAGGTTGCAGAAGTTGTGAGCGGTGGACAGTCTCTCCAGCAGATCAGCTCTCTGAATGTTCAGCTGCGCTAAGAAGCACTGAGCACCTACAAATGTGAGAGAAAACGGAAACTTGTGTCGACTTGAATATGCTCCATTTAAAAGAAATACGAACCAACGTTTGTTCAGATCAGTAGCTCTGCAGATACTTTTGTTTCTCAAAACGATGGAGGACATTTATTAACTCGCGACAACGTTGGTTAACTGATGTCGAACTATGTGCCTACCGAGCTTCCTGAATCCAGGCACCATGTCAACAAAAGTCGCAACACCTTCACTGAGGGGCTGTGGAAGATGGGCTCTGAAGTGGTGACCCAGAGTGAGCAGGTGGTGCGCAAGGTACATGCAGTTGTTGTGCTGAATGGCAGCTAGTTGAGGTAACTTGAGGTTTTCCCTAAATGAAGTAAAAAAAAGGAACAGAAGACAATTAATGTCCACAAGGTATTCATTAGGAACGCTGTATGTCGTGTGATGGAAGCATTCTTACTTATGGTATGTAGGCACGACGTCATAGAACAGCTGGAAAATGTTCCTCACTGTGAAGAAGAGCTGCAAGGCACTGAACAGACGAGAAACACCGATCAGTAGGTTGATGTATTCATTCATAAAACGAGGGTTTCTGAGTGATTAAACGTACCACTGCATGGAGCTTCCAACAGCTTCACACAGGGTGTTGAGCGCCAGCTCCATCAGCTGCTGCACCGACTCGCTGATGCGACAGGCGGGCAGACGCAGGCTGGAAGCAGACAACTGCTTCGAGTTCTCCAACGTCATCTCCTCCTTCACGGCCTCCTGCTGCTTCACCTTCGCCTCAGAACTTGGAGCAGGGAGCTTGGGCAAACGCAGCTTTGAATCTGGAGTGATCTAACAAGACATGTGGAAAACCAATGCAGCTTTAATCAAAACTCTGGAAGGTACAATGTAGGGTTAAAATCAAGAGTCATATCTTATTCTGCTTTTTTGTTTTGTTGTTTAATTTTTGCTTTCAAGCAGCCAGACATTTATGATCTTGATCAAGATTTTCCAAAGGCTTTCAGAAAGTTTTAATACATTTATTTAAATTTAACATTTGGCAAACTTTTTTGAAACTGATATTTTAGTCTAGTCCCTGATCATTTTCAAAAGAGTGTTTTAAAGCTTCTGAATTCAGGTGTAAAGACTCCTGAACTAGAAATGACCGAGTGTCATGTCAACATGTTCCAGACGCCTGAGCAAGAAGGAAAAAAAAGATCTTTAGGCATTTTAAGTCAAAACTCAAACCTTCCAGCAAAAGATCTTCTTCATAATATAAAATCGTATTTAAGCAGAGGCTGCTCATTTCTGACCGTCCCCAAATTATGTTACTCACAGAAAATGGCAATTTAGAGCTTAAAAAAAAAACGTAAAAATATAACAAAAGAAAATATTTTGGAGTGTTTTCAGCAGCATTACAAAGAATTGCACAAATGCAAGATTTAAACATTTGTTTAAACGTATATTCCACCCAAACAGGCAGATTTTCTATAACACTGTTTTGCAGGTGAAAAGGTATTAAAGTTTAAAATACAAGAACGTTTTTATGTGTGTATAAAGTAGGAAAGTGAAACATGTTTGGGATGGGTACTCTTTAAAAGCTGTAGGCAGCAGAGCTCTATAAGCAAAAAAAGAGTTGGAGCTGAGATGGTAAAAAAATAATAAATAAAAAAAGATGGTAGCCTAAGGCCAAGTTCACAATAACTGAAAGTTTTAGACAAGATCTGAGTGTCTCTACTAAATTATGACAATTTATTTCTGTACTACAACTGCAGTGAAAATGAACAAAACGCTCCAATGTATTTGAATGTACGTACTGAAATACTGCAAAAACACTGAGTATGAATGCATTAATGTACATAAACACTTAATAAAAATTCTTCCTTCTTCTTTCGGCTGCTCTTCTTCAGGGGTTGCCACAGCGAACTAACTCGCACGAAGACTTGGTGACTGGTCTTATGCCAGATGTCCTTCTTGACACAACCACAGACCACTGAGCTACCACAGCCCTCTGTGTGAGCAGGGAGCTGCTATCTAGGGCAACCAGGGAGCAGATGATGGGGGTTAAGGGCCTTGCTTAAGGGCCCAGAGTGGGGCAAATGAGGGTGGAGGAAGGTGTGGGTGTTTCACCTTTCCCACCCACATTTTGATGTTGTCGGTCCAGGGAGTAGAACCGGCGACTTTCTCAGATCCACCTTCTCTAACCTCTGTCATCGCTCCCACTTAAAAGTCTTAAAACACTTTTTAAACATTGCTTAAAAAAATCAACTAGAATAATTTAAGTGTTTGATTTACAAAGGAAAAACTCTCTGGCTGCCAGCAAAAGGATTCACGGTGGAAAGTCTCTACAAGATGGCCTAACCCTGTGGGCGGGTGAAGATGTCTGAAGGAGGAGAGTTTAGAAGCTTTGTGATATGCTGCTCTTAGATCGTTAGCCCTCGTCTCTGTGAGGCTCACTGGTGTTCGATTGTGTTGTTTGCATGAGAGCAGAATAAAAAAACCTATTCAACTTGCATCTGACGCCTTGGCTACACTTTCCATCTGTTATTTAAGATAATCCAAGTAAATGAATTTTAAATTTTTTTTCCTAAGTGTTCACTAAACAATTAAATTGGAAAAAAGTTTGTTTAATCATTTTATATGACGGTGAATACTCAGTTATTTCTCAGTTCTATTCAAGTTGAGGCGATGTTACCAAAGTGTTTATATTCCGACATTCCGTTCGAACTCAGACGTACTTTAATGGTGTTGTGCATCTTGGAGGTCATCAGTTTGCGCGCTGCCACAATAACATCTCTGCACTTCTTGCTGGCGAAGTGACAGTTGACGTCTCTGGCATATCTGAGCAGGTCTGTGGAATCACCCTGCAGATACTCCATCTGCTTCAGGGCCTTCTCAAACTCCTCCGTTTCTTTAATTACCTTGAGCAAAAAGAAATGATTCAATTTAAATCTAACTTTGATTAACACGAAGTAGTGTCATTTTTATACATACGGTGATGTATTTCTCCAGCTCATTGCTGTTGGTTGGGATGGAGTACACGAGACACTCGTGGATGATACACTGCGACATTTCTTCCCAAATCAACTCTCCCAGGATGGCCGAGAGCTTTTTATTGCCGATGGACACGTCTGAAATAAACATGATTTCAGCCTCATTGTATTTTGACACACAGAAGAAAAGTGCGTCCTGAAAGCTTCTTCAGATTTAACCTCTTTACCCAGCAGGTGAGAGTGCAGTGTCTTGAGCACTAGAAGTAGTTTACTGTACACTTGTGAAGGAGTGGATTGCTCCTCATGGCTCTCTTCAAAACGTTGCAAAGCCAGCATGGTTCCCTCGCCCTGCTGCTCTGATACTCTCACTGACAGAGACGCATGCATCACCAACGGCTTCAACATGTACTTCATAAGCACCTGACCTGAACAACAGGAGATGCAAATAAAGAAAAAGCTCTCAACTTGGAGACAATGTACATTAGACAAAATCTGACAATATTACTTTAATGTATTTGTATTGTTATAAGTGTAAACACCTTTTAAAGCAAGAATGATATACGTATTTGAGGACAATGTGTCTAGATTAGATACTCTAATAAACAAAAGAACAATCAGTTTAGTTTTGGCCAACATTACTGAAGAGTTTGATTTTGTGCTGAAGGTCTCCTTGGATGGCTAGAGCTTGCAGAACGGAGCACAACAGAGCAGAAGGTTTGGATTCATCGTCTTTCCTGGAGGCATCATTCAGGATCAGATGAGCGTTCAGGAAGGACTTCTGGTCAGCAGAATCTGAGGAAAGATTATAATTGCAACCACATAGATCGACATGTTTTAAAAATATAGCAAAAAATAAATAAACCGTCTAAAGTTTTAATAACAAATGTGACAAAGAAATCGGTTTCTCGGGACCTCACCCTTCGAGGGTGGTAATTTCCAGATGACGAGGCGCTTCCATTCGTCTCCCAGGTGGTAAATTAGGTTCTCTCTCTGCACAGTCAGCTCGGAGCTCAGAGCACTGAGAAGAGACAGCTGAGCTGTTTTCCAGTCCTTCAGTAAATCCACACTCTTCCTTGCCTGAAAAAACATGTATTTAGTAGCATTACGGCTTCTGCATATTCTTTGTTAGAGTTGCCTGTTACACTCTGCTGTTTCAGTTGCACTGGCCTCCTATCGATTAAAGTCCAACTTAAGACTCTGGTTTTGACGTTAAGAGCTTTACAAGAACAAGTAGCAAGGGACACCATAGTTTTGCGTTCATGCGTTCCCAGCTGGTTCCTGTTTTCAAGTGAACAGGACCTGCCAAGGCTGGAAACTAAAAGAGAAAGATGTTGCAGCAGTGACACCCCCAGACCCTTGAACTCTCACCCTCAGAGACTCTGTGTGGACTTGGAGGTCTTTATTAAAAAAAAAGCAGATAAACGTTCATTGTTGTTGTTTTTTTTAACTAGAGCACTTTTATGTGGTTTGTTACCATTTGCGCTTCAAGTTTACATTCTAATTGCCTCCTAGTTTTTGCTTTTGGGTGCCACTGATGGCTTGTTGAATGCAAGAACAATAACTTCCCTTTTTGGTTTCATGCCAAGTTTTAGTTTAGAGTTCCTTAATATAATCATTTCTCACCCTTTCTAGATGATTGGCAGCATCAACATAGTTCTTCTCCTGTAATGCTTTATTGAACTCCTCCATCGCACTGTGAAACTGAGTCACACACAACAAAGATCAAACACAGAAACATACAAACGCATGTTTGCTAAAATCATCTTAATTTACCTCTTTAAGGTGTTCAAGCATTTTTATGATATTAGTGTTTTTCTCCAGCTGCTGCTTAAGCTTTGTGTATTCATTCACAGCGACATGGATGTTCTGCTGCACCTGAGTCCACAGACAGAAAAATAAAACATTCACTCTTCTGCAAAGATAACATTTTACTTGTGAACAATTTCATACATACTTCAGTCTCAATGTGGATTTTAAGAGCCTCCATTTCTTTGGAAACTACATTAACCTGCAGCATTAGGTCCTCAGATGTTTGAAGGCTTGGTTGAAATTCACTGTACTTCTTATTCATCATGTCACATACTTCCTCCTGTAGAAAATACACAAGGAACAATGTGCAATTCAATCAGCGGTAAAACATATTTGTACCTAAACTTGTAAAGATTTATTTTAGCTCAGGCAATAATTGTCATGCAGGTATGAAACACAATGCTGAAAATGGATTTTTATTTGACTGCGAGAAAGGAGCCTTTTCACTGCCTTTTTTTTTTTTGTGTGTGGTTGCATGTAGATCATGTTACATCAAGTTAAAATGGGGAAAAGGCTCTTTTTTAAATGATCAATTCAATTCAGTTCAATTTAGTTTATTTATATAGTGCCAAGTCACAACCCAAGTTATCTCAGGGCATTAAACAAAAACATACACATACATTATAAATGCCAGTTAGTAAAGTTATCTACATATCTAAGGAAGGAAGGAAGCCAGCAGACTGATCAAATAGGACTGCATTATTTCAAAGACAACAGAAAAAGTTAAGAAATTAAATGTAAAAAAGAAGTATTTTTCCCCCCACAATAAAAATAGGTTTCACGATCTGTAACACAAATGGATTCTGATTTACTAATCTCAAGTATTGATTTAGAACTGAACTAGTTGCAAAAAAGGCTTGCATGCCAGAAAAGAAGTTGTGAAACTGGGATTTTTAGTCCTTCACAAATACATTTTTCACAAATTATAAACTATATAGTATAGTGTTGATTCTTTGTTAATTAGGGGACACTTTATCCAGATTTGTCAAGTCTAATTTGCTCCAGTTTTAGAGGGTTTGCATGTAGTAAAATCAGTGAAAAAGCAAACAGCATGGTTGAAATTACAGATGAATAATGCAAAATCCTATTTATCAGCCAGCTGTACAAGGTTTAGTAACAATAATAAACTGAGTGTCTAAATATTATGACACATACATTAACTGCTCATCCACATGGACTTTTCACCAGCTATTCACTAGTATTTTTAGCTGAAGCATGGTAGAGATGGTTTGACAATGCTCACATAGAAAAACCTCACAAGGATAACAATACAAGAAAAAAAAGTCCTGATGCATCACAGTAATCCAGGTAGAGAAATCTAACAGGTTAAGTTAGGTCCTCTGGACGGATTCTTCTTCAAGAAAGAATGTTCAGTTTTACAATAAGTAGTCAGCATACGACCGGATGTTGCTCCATTAATTGCAAAAAGATACCCACATACTTCTGACTTATCTCCTCCAGTTACATTAAGTTTATGCATTCTGACGAACGTTGCACAGTAATTTAGTGCACCAGAGGAAAATACTGTACTGTCTGCACAAGTGGGTCTAAGTTCTGCTAGCATAAACATACTAAAATTGCATTTAATTTGCTTCAAGATACTCTGTAATCGTTAAAATTCAGGCCACAGATTCGTCCAAGCCAGTGTTTATAGTTTATCTGACATACGCAAACTGCTAGCTGCTAACAGCTGGTCAAAACTTTACTTAGCTAATGCTATGCTAGTAAGATTACCTTCGTGTCCTCCACTTTTCGAGAGATTTTGCTTATTTTGCTGGACAAGTCCTCCTTCTCCAGTTTGCCAGAGCTGGCGAGCACTTCAGTCACAAAGGAAGACATGTTGTACAAAAGAGTTTTGATATTTTAACAACACTCTGACACATCAGCACAACAACATCTTTGACCCGCGCCTACGAAGTCCCGCCTCTTTTTTCTTCTTCGTCGTTTTTTTTCATGCAGCATTTACTGCCATCAACAGTTGGATCATTTTACGCCTGAATCTCAAAACAACGTATGTTTTTGAAATACTTTTTTCAAAATTAGAAGAAAAAAAAATAGTATATCAATCAGATTGTAAAGTCGTTTTATGAAACAAACAATTGAACAGTAAATTACTAAGTCTTAGTTTATAAATCCTTCTCATTGTTTATAAGCTATATTACGAGATTATATTTTTCAATGGAAAAAAAAAAACTTGTTTACAGTAAATTCGTTGTTTCTTGTTAATTAATTTTTTCTTGTAACTGCACCTATTACCACTAGGTGAGGGTAACGCTCTAGCATGAGAGTTTAAATCATCAATTTCTTACCACGAAGAAGAACGAACAGGAAACAGGAAGGGTTTCTATAGAAACGACAACTATTCAACGTAGTCTTTTTTTTATCATCTCGTAGCTGTTACTTACCGCATCCACTACTTGGTCAATTTATCTTCCACTTACAGACATTAGGATAGTCCTGTTAACAAGTCTAAAGTTTACTTGGGAGTGTAGAATCTGCTTGTAAACCAGCCGTCGTGGATGTTGGCTTGAATCATGGCTGACTGTTGGAACACAGATACCGGAGACTCCGTGTATCGGTCCAGGGATGCTGTCAAGAACTTGAAAATAAAGTAAGCAGCGAAACGTATAAATAGCTTGTTTTTGCTAGTGTGTCGTGTTGGGTGATTTATGTGTGAGATCTCTGTTGTGTTTTTACTTTAGAGTGCGTGTAGAGAGGGTGACCTCTTCAGCAGCATTCTCTCAGCATCTCCAGCACCAGGTTCTGTCCCAGCAAGAAGACAGGATGGGCATTGAACTGCAGACCCTCATATCACAAGTTCAGACAGGTACATAAATTAATGAATGGACTAATAGTGACTGGAAGTAATACATTTTACAAGTGTTTTAGTTACTGTAGATTTATATTGTTCTTCTGCTGACAGGTGATAATGAAGAGGAGGTTGTTGTAGGCTGGCAGGAGAAACTGTTCAGTCAGGTAGACTTTTAAGTGTTTATTATCTAATTTCACTGCTTATTATGATTTAAATAACCAAAAGTTCAAAAGTCATAAATTATATTTCCTTTATAATTTCACGCGTGCTGTTACTAATTTTTGTTCCAGTATGAAATGGAGCTGTTTCAAAATGAGGCAGCATGTCAGACACCTTTAGACCGCCAGTACCACGCAGAAATCAAGGCCCTTCTTAAGGCCAAGGGGCAGCGTAATCGCAGGATCTTCACATACACGGATCATGACCGCTACACCCACTGTCTTCCACTCCAACAAATGGTATGTCGATGATGTCAATGGATTCAAAGCTGTCACGTAACAATACAAAGTAAAGCATTCCATTTGCATACAAAAGTCGAGCTTAAATACATTTTATTAGAAACATGAGATTATAAATGTGTATTATTTTTGTGTCTTTAGTAGATTATCATGCTTGCTGTTGAATATTTTAATAACTAATTGAAAATCTGGATATGGTACATATTGAAAGTTCAAAAACAGATTGCTGTATGTGTTATGTCTCATTACTTTAATCTAGTAGATAGTTATTATTGACATTTTTCAGTGTGTACAGTGTCAGACAGTTATTGAATTAAAATTGTAGTTTTTCCTGGATGCTTGTCAAAAGAATAAAAGTAGAATAAGATTAATTGTAATTTCTTTATTTTGGCCACCTTATGCTCTAATTCAATCCCTCACCATTTTTGCTTATCTTTGCTATGTTTCGTTTTGCAAATGTTATGCGCATGTTTTAAATATTTATAAAGATGTCACAAGTAATTATGTTTGCCTCTGATGCAAAAAAGACCAAAACTCATGTCTGAGATTGCCCAGTCCAAGGTGATTGTTACCCAGTTTCTGTTCTTTCCTTTTAATTTGTAGCTTTACTTGTAATTTCTTTAATTGAATCGTTCTGTCATGGTACTGAAACAAGGTATCTCAACATCAAAGCAAATGTCTCAGACTTAAGCAATCATTGTTTGTGATGTTTTAAAGCTAACTGTTTTATTGTAAACGCTGATTGCTTTTAATCTTGAAAGCAGGATGCTGACTTACTGTTCACATCAAAATCGGGTCCCACCTTCCTGGCCGAGAGGATGGCCAGCGTGAGACACAGACGACCAGAAAGACGCACCACGTACGTGAAGGACCGTCTTGTTTTATCAGATCATATTGTTTGTCTTTTTTTTTTAATTCTCAGAGTTACCTGTGGGACTTGCTATACATACATTTGTAAAGTTAAGACCAATTTATTTACAGACACTCGTCAAATTAAAGTTTTCTTTTTTTTTTTAATAAATGTAAAGTTCAACAGGGGATAAAATACATTATCTGCTATGTTTTGCAGGGATAGTATCCCTAAGTCAAGAATCATCAACTGGGAACCCACAGAGGAGTTTGTGAAGAGAAGTCATGTGGTGAATAACGCCATGCAGACCATGCACATCATGGGAGACCTGGGCCCAACTGGGAGGTAAATTCCTAAACCGTATTTCTGCCCCCTAAATATATTGTATTGTTTGGTGTGGAAACTGATAAGTAAACACTCATAAGTGGACCTCATTTGTTTAGATTTATCTGGTATTAATGTAGGATGATGCTGCATCTTGGTCAAATAAAACAGTTTTGCTAGATTTGATGAATGATTATTTTTTGTCTAGTACCAAGTTTCATTGGATGTTGACTGTAATCATCTTTCTGTCTCATCGTCTCTGTTCTTATTGTTAAAGCCTCGGCCAGAAAGAGAACGAGTGTCTGCTGGTCACTGTACGAACAGATGGCAGTGGAACAGTTATTGTAAAACCAGATTTCAACAAAGGCAGAGCGCCTTACAGGCAAGTTCACGACACATCATCATGTAAATATTATAGTACTTTTTCATCCATCCATCTATTTTCTTTACCTGCTTTTTCCTTTCTGGGTCATGGGGAGCGAGAGGTGGGGGACGTGCTGGAGAGGGTGCAAGTCCATCACAGGGACACAGAGACGAACAATTATTCACACCTTTCACTCAAAACTTTCTGAATTTTTAGAGCCACCAGCTGCTCAATTGATCCAATTTAAAATATGACAAAAAATAAATTAAAAAAGGGGAGGGGGGGCAAAACTTTTACAACAATAAAAGATATTCAGCAAACATAAAGTGATATTTATGTGCTTTGCAGGATTATAACAGAGGGTGAGAAGAGAGAAGTATGGCGTCTAACTTTGGAGAATGTATCCGCAGCCATGAAACCAGAGGAGAAAGGAAGGGAGCAGAACATGTACAAAGATGTCAGTAAACATCTCCTTTGTTTTACAAAAAGAAGAACAGTAGCTGTTTTTGCTTAACTGCAAGCAACTGTGAAGTCAGTTTACAGATAAAATGAGACGAACTTGTTCACCTTGTATGTTTGCAGCTGTATGTGAGGCACAAGGAGTACCTCAGTAGTCTTGTTGGACAGGACTTTGAAATGGTAGGCTATTAAATAAAATAAACAAAATGCTCAAGATGGCTCAAGGTTACATATTCAGACTGTTTTTTTTTCCTCAAATCTTTGCAAAATTGTAACCACTTTATTTATTATAATGTACGACTCTTTTGGCATTGATGGTTTTAAATTATTCTGATTGATTAATGACACTAGATCAAATTGGTTCGTTGTGGCATTGCAAACATTTCTGCACTAACAAGATGTTTGTCCTTCAGCCTCCTGTTGGTACTCTGCGTTACGTGATGAATGGAGAGATTGGTGAGCAAGACAGCAGGGATCGTTATGACAAATATCTATTAAAACTAACAGTTGAAAATTGACACTTTTTTTTCTTCTTCTTTCTAGTTTCAGCTAAAGGTTTTGAGTATGATAACCTATATATCCACTTCTTCATGGATCTTCCCAATAGTGAGTCATTAATCAGTATTTTGGTTTTTGTTTTGTGTTCCTGCTCTCAGTTTGCTGCATTAACTTGTGTAATTTTTTTTAAAAGATTGGTCCAGCTTGCCTTTTTATACTCTGTCAGGCGTTACCCAAACCTGCCGAACCAAATCAATGGGAAAGGTTTGTATTTTATGTAACAAACTGCCTTGTTATTAGCTTCAGAGGATGGCGATTGAAAGTTGTTAAACCCAGAATTTGATTTCTGCCGACAGGAAAATGTAGCTTTCTTCAGTTACCCATTCAACCTTGAGGCTTTTTACATGAGTGAAAAAGAAAGTGACGGTTAGTAAAAGCCTTTAAATGTTACACTGAAATGGTTCAATGCATAAAAAACTAGACTGATATGTGAGTTTCTTTTTGTATTTTCAGAGTTAATTCCCCAGTGGCCAGTGCTTTACTTCAAGGTTCTTTCTCTTGACTCCTGGCAACGCTATCGAACTGAGGGTTATGGCTACCTGCTTTTTCCTGCCCTACCTGGTACACTGCATCCAGAAATTATTGTCAAATGCTCTACAGTTCATTAAACTAATTGGTCTTAATCTCTTGCATCGCACATTCTGTTTCTGTATGCACACCAGGTAAACACACAGTGACGTGTCAAACATGGCGACCTCTTCAGACCGGGACGGTTTCTGCACTGAGGCGCTTCTTTATCGGCGGTTCTGCAGAGCTTGAAGATCTCAGCTACGTCAGAACACCTGGAACCTTCAAGGTGGGCTCAAAATTTATAAACAACACATAAAGTCCAACAATGTTATAAAAATATAATATTATATACCGGTAATATAATAATAATTTTTATTAGAAAATTGTTGAAATGTATTATTTAATATACACAATTATGGTTGTAAAATACATTTTTCATTTCCAAATGCATGCATGCTGAGCTATAACAAACCCAGTGGATTAGAAAGGAAATTATTTGAAGAATGAAGGTCCTGATTATTTACATATTAATGGTTATGCACTGTAATATATTTGTGTCTGGCTTCAGGGGGAGAGGTTGAGTCGTTTTGGCTTTTGCACCCAAGCCACAGGAAGTGTCTCCTTTAATCTGCACTGCATGCAGCAAGCCAGGTGAGCAGGTAGTGGGATAAACCATGTCATGTCATGCATCCAGCAAACTATAAAATAATATACGAGTAATACAACTAGAGAAATTGCATTTCCTGCAAAAATGCAGTGTGAATGCTTATTGCAGAAGAACTTTCTGAAAAACATCTGAAATAAGCTAAAAGAAAAAACATCTGAAATTAGCTAAAAGAAAAAACATCTGAAATAAGCTAAAAGAAAAAACATCTGAAATTAGCTAAAAGAAAAAGCATCTGAAATTAGCTAAAAGAAAAAAAACATCTGAAATTAGCTAAAAGAAAAAACATCTGAAATTAGCTAAAAGAAAAAAAACATCTGAAATTAGCTAAAAGGATTAACAAGCCTAATTTAGCAGAATAAAGCAGAAAGAACACAAATTTGCTGAATTAGCTTTAAATAAGCAGAAATGTGCACAAAAATTATGAGAATTAGCTAAAAAAAAAAAAAAGCTCAAATTAGCAAAAATAGCTAAAAGTAGCTGAAAAGGCAGAAATAAACTTAAACTACCAGAAGGAAGTGAAATGAGTTGAAATGAGCTATATATAAAAAAGTGAAATTAACTAAAAAAAAAAAATCTAAATTTAGCATAAAAACCGCTAAACAGAAGCTGAAATAGCAGAAAAAGCTGAAAGGAGCATAACGTCTTCATATCCGCTGTAAGACAGACTGCTACAAAAGATCCTTCCTGCCCGCAGCCATCAGCATCTATAACAAGTCTTTAATGAAACCAGGATGATGAGTTACAACAACATTTAATTTCCCTCTGGGATTAATAAAGTATTTTTTAATTGAATTGAATTGAGTTGAACAAGCTGAAATAAGCTAATTAGGTTGAAAGTAGCAGAAATTACCATGAAAAACTTGACTTTATCTGAAAGCAGCTAAAATTAGCACAAAAAAAAAAAAAAAAGCTAAAAACATAGCTGAAAAGGTAGAACAAGCTTAACTTAGCAGAAGAAAGCAGAAAAAACACGTTTGCCCAATTAGGCTGAAAGAAGCAGAAATGAGCACAAAAAGTGGAACTTATCTGAAAAAGCTGAAATTAGCTAATAACAGCTAAATAGTAGTTGAAATAGCAGAAAAGCTGAAACTTGCAGAAATAAGCTGAAAGGAGCATTACAAGTGACATTAGCAGAAATAAGTTAGAAGAAGCACAAAAATGTTGTAGTTAGCAGAAACAATTTGAAAGGAGCACAAATCAACTAAAAAAAACAGCTGAAAATAGCTGAAAAAAAGTTTAAATTTGCACAAGGAAGTTGAAAAAAGCTGAACCAGAAAAAAAAAAGGAGCAGTGAAAGGTTGTAAACAGATTTAAAGATTTTAAGGACATAAAATGAGCTCAATTCACTTTCTAGGAGAAAAAAAGTGTCAGAAAAGGCTAAAATATGTCAAAAAGCTAAAGTTGCACCAACACCAGCAGTTATAGCAGGATTGTCCTGAAAGAGCTGAATGTTTTGATTAATGATTTGTTGACATAGCTTGAAAACTGCGGAACAAGAATCACATCAGAAAAGGTGCGGACGAACAATGGATCACAATAGTGTGAATGCTTCATGAACATTCACACAATTACATTTTGTTGTTATCAGCTTATCGTACACATATTGTATTTGTTTGATGAGAGCAAGCGTTTTGAAATAAGTCACCTGTTTCTGCCAATATGCCACCAACACAATATGCTCTGATAATTTTTTTAAATGGAAAAAGATGCAGAAAGCTTCAAACAGAAAATTCACGTTATTTCCTTTTTTCTTGACTCTGTTAAATACAGCTCTAGCAATATTTCTGAGCAAACTTACAGATTGCATGCATGACACGTCACCTGTTTACATAGAATGACTGAAATATCAGAAGTCTTATTAAACTCCTACACTGGCAACGTGAAATGAAATGATTATTTATCTGCTTTATTCGAGGTTTTTCAATTGCTTGTGTCTAGTGTTCTGTGAGACAATAAAGTGTAGTTTAATGTCTCCATGTTTGGTTTGTTTCAGAGCCTTTGTTGACGCCACCTTACTGAAAAAGAGGAGACAGAAAGTTGTGGATCAGCTGGGAGGATTCAGTCAGCAAGGAGACGTTTGCAATGTGTTGGGTAAACATACTGACACAGAACTGGACTGTTCAGTTTTCAGTGAAATTACATTTTTGTTAAATGCTACAAAGTTTTAACTAAATATATTAAATTGTTAGTGAAGGGAACAGAGATGAGGGAATAGATGTGAATAATGACTTGTGAAATGAAAATTCATCTTCAGTGTTTAGCAAGTATTAAATTAACAGTGCATAAAATATACACAACACAAAATACATATTAGCGTACATATATATGTATGCTTACATCTATAAATAAACCCCTGTATTGGGAAATCAGCAACCTTTATTAAACTTGTTATTCATGAAGTCTTCAGCTGTGAATTCAGTGTCAAAGTGGCAATGAGGTCAGCTTTGTAAAAAAAATAATTATTTATATGAAATATATATATATTCTCTCTATAAAATCAAATATTATTTTGGGAAACAATGTAGCGTATGTCCAAGAAAACTCACAGCTGACGTCACATTATCAACTTGGTCTTTTTGCCATTGAACCACATTACTTTACATTTATTTATTTATTTATGTGGAGCTGACAATTTATTTATCACATCATATAGTGGTTCTATAATTTGCTACAGTCTCTCTAATCAGATTCTCAGTACAGTTTATGTATAAACCTCTAACAGTTTAAAATAATAATAATGCAATTCTGTTTAAGAATTCTAAATAAGTTTAAAGTCTGAATTAGGTGGAATTTGTTAGGTCATAGCTTGTCTTCAGTGCTTTTTCATAAATTGTGCATTCTTGCACTCTAGTTTGATTGGGCACTTGCAGAAATAAAAAGGATCCACAACTACCGGTAATTTTTTACAGCGCCGCTTAGGAAATGAAAAAGTTTAATCATGCTTGTGTTTTTGTTTGTCTGCTTTTCTTCTGTCAGAGGCCTTCCAAAGAGCCTACAGAAAGCTGCAGCAAGCCCGAGATAGCCTTCCACAAGACCTCATCCACTCCACCCAGCTCCAACAGGAATCTTCTGCATAGGTGTTGAAAATAAAGTTAAAAGAAGAAGCTATATCATTATAATATTGTAATTAGTGAATTTCACTCAAAAAGCAAAGCGCTGTCCTGATAATTTGGCCAGTGCATATATAGATATTAAGCTTTATGCCAATGGTGTAATGTAATATCTTGTTTTACTGGGATGTAACTTTTGTTTCAGATTTAAGAAGTCGCATTTGTAAAATTACAGGAAAATTTATACTTTTTTAAAGAAAGTTTGTAATAAATATTTTAATGTTACGTTTATATTTACTGTCACATAAAAAAGTATGATACAAAGGGTCATATTTTTAGAGTGTGTGTACTTTTTTACATGTGAATCAGCTACCAGTAATGAAGTGCCATACAATATGAGACTGGTTTTATACATTTTAATAGACAACTCACAAATAGTAATTAGAGAAATGGGTTATAAACGTTCACGATAGATCTAAAATTGACTTTTCTATGCGACATCGTAGTGTTTTTCATGCAGTTTACCATTGAAAACCAAATATATTCTTTAAATGGACAAACAAGAAAAGCCGCTTTGCATCTGCTTTGAGAAGTAGTGTTTAAATTGAATGATTTAAAGTGTAACAATGTCCATTTACATAACACAGTATGACAGTGTTTAACTCTAAAGAGTGCTGTCGTGATGGATTGAAGGATTCAAGGAAATTATGTATACAAGGTCCCAGTTACATCCAACAAAAGTATTAAAATGTAAAAGAAAAACAGTTCATATTTTAGATCTTATTACTAAGAAAAACGTTAATAAAAATACTCTAAGCACTAGTAGCATAAAATAGATGGGAGAACTACATGGGAACAAGATAGAAATTTGCCATCTTTGTATTTAGTTCATTCATTCAACCTTTATTTATACATGTTAATCCCATTGAGCCTTGGGGACTCATTTACAAGAGAGACCTGATTTCTTAACAGAGTGATGACAACAGTGAGCAACAACAACAATATACAGTCATAAAAGAGGCATACAAAATTTAAATTTCTTTTTTATTTTTTACATATCAAAACAATAGCAACCAAATGGACAGTCAGATGGAAAAGTAGCAAAAAAAAAAAAAGAACAGCTAGATTATAAGGCGGAGTAGAAAACTAAAAACAGGAACATGTCTGCATTGTTTGTTTGCCAGGAACTTAACAGATGTTTAAAGCCACTGTAGCGAGGTCAAGGTCGAGAGCTTCAGATCAGCCGTGGCTGCAGCACGGTTGCAGCGATGGGCTTTCCTCGGTGCGCACACCTACACTGTTGAATTTAAAGGGACAAAGCTACAAACGCAGATGGACATTCACGCCTTCCACAAATGCAAACCACTGATCCAGCAACTGTGTTTCACGTTGCACAAGTGGAACCCCTGCCTGTCACACGTGCTCAGGTGAAAAAGAAAAATTCAAGAGATAGAAGTATTTTACCCTGATGCATGCTCAATAATCCAGGTAGAAAAATCTAAAAAAGTTAAATCTGGTCCTCTGGACATTCAAAAAAACAAAACAAAGCAAATCAACAAAAAAAATGTAGAAACGTTTCGTCTCTCATCCGAGAGACTTCCTCAGTCTGAGGAGCTGTATTCAGCTCAGTCTCTTAAATAGCACCGTCTCAGGGTGGATCAACCAGTTTTGCTGCTGACAACCAAAACCAGCTGATCACATGCTCAAGAAGGACCATCAGCATAACAATGGATCATTAGCACACTGATGGCTGTTTACTGTTCACAGAGGGCTGAGTGATACTAGCAATCACAGCATTGTAAGAGGGGGACAGTTGAACCCGGAGGCCTCCACCCCTGTTTAATGATGGACGGTTTCTTTTCACAAAGATGGCCTCCTTTACTCCTCTCTCAAACCATTGTTCCTCTCTGTCCAGGATGTGAACATCTTCATCCCTGAAGTATTTTACGTTTCACAAATCATCTTGGGGGGCCAGAAAAGATGTCAACAAAGGCCACATTTGGCCCCTGGGCCTTGAGTTTGACACATATGCAGTAGACACATGCACTGATGACAATTCATAGCACTTTCACTTTCATAAGTTGGTTGGACTCTGCTGGGATGACTAAAAAGACTAGAGTGAGAGGAGTTTTTACGACATTTTATGCAGAATTGGTCACAAAACCACCTCATTCCATGCACCAGTATAATTGTTGCTGACCTCCGAATGCTATTATGGTCATTTGCAGAAAGGTGATGCCATTTCACCTTCAGTTGCTGGATAAAATATTTTCTCTTATCATCATTATTCATCCTTTGTAGCAAAAATGTACAAGTTTAAAATAGGATGGCCTGGGAATTTATCAAGTATTAAAATCACTGTTGGGTTGTTGTAATAGATGACACTAATTCTGATGGGCGAAAAGCAGCAGTCAGAAAAAATGAACTAAAAAAAGGAAATTATTCAAATGGATTTGAAAAAATAACAGAAAATAAATTAGCCACACAGCTATTAACGTATGTGCATTACACAGACTGAAATAAAACAATTTACAGCATGTTATTTGCGTATTGTGTTGACACAGTTACCTAGGATGAGTACGGTGAAAACAAAACAATAATCAAGCAAAAATAAATTGAATTTATTTATTTAAACTGATGCATCTATTTGTTTTCCGGTTACCATGACAGCAGCTTTTGTTATCATCATTAATATCTTTTAAAATGTTGTTCGGTTTTAAAAATAGAGTTCCACAGTTTATCTTGTAGTTCAGATTAATACTCTGGACAGCGATCGACATCTGTGAGCTGAGCTCGGTAGAAATTACTTTTAAAACTTTTTTTGAAGAAGAAATTCAAAACTTTCAACTCTTCAAGGACACTTGTGAAGATCCAGAGAGAAAGCCTTGATTTCTTTGGTAAGTAAGAAAAGAGAAACTTGATTTAAATAACCTTTTTGCCAAGATTATATTTACAACACTTGCAATTTCAACTGATAGGCAAATATTAGTAAGGCTAACAAGCTAAAAAGCTAACGTTAAGTCAGTTAAAAAGCTAATCTTAGGTTAGCTAACAAGCTAACGTTAGATTTTGCTCACATATTGAATTAAACAAACATTTATATGTCAAACAAATCATATTGAGTGAGTTTTAGTCTTCTGAACATGCATTTGTTTTGCACTTGGTTTTAAGTGCTGTCACATCATGACTTTTTATGTGATTGTTTGTTGATTCCGTTGTTTTAAATTTGTTTTTGTAAGGCTTTGTATATTTTTTAAATTCTGTGCATTTACTCATTTTAATGGAAAAAAAAATGGCTTTCGTATTTTTCTTTTCTTTCAATCACATGTTTATTTTTCATTTTTAGTTCGTGGCTGCCAGCCAATCAGATTCCGGCCTGTCATGGTTGCTAAGATACGCAAAAACAGGAAGTTATACTCAAATAGAATTAGCGCGCTGCATGGAGTGCCCTCTAGCGACAGTTGTGGGAATTTATCGGTTTTCCGTGGCGTAAATTTTAGTACAAATTGTCATATTTTAAGTTATAGTCACGAGATACTGTAATGTGTTAGATTAAATAGCATGAACATCTTTTCAAGTGAGCCTTAATAATGTTTGTGTTTCATACTGTACATTTTTATTTTGCCAACATGTATTTTACAAAACAGGAGCATCAGTATAATTCTTCTAGTCAAACATAAATGTCAAATTGTTGTCATATGATGCACAACAAATTCATTGTGCATTTTTATGTTATCTGTAATGTCTCATGTTGTTTCGTAGGTAATAATGGTTGTTTAATTATTGAATTGAGGAGCTGTTTTATGCTTGAATGAATCAAAACAAATGTAAAGAGAAATAATTATTTGAAAATGAGACACAAAGCAACTGAAGTCCAAATGAAAGCTTTAAAAGTGGTCAGAACGATTGTAAGAACATCCACCTTAATAAAACTACAAAGAAATGATGGACGACAAAATACTTTTACACAGAATTGTGTTTTATTGTGTTGTCAAGAAATGTGGGAGTTGCTAATTTAATTCCTAAATAAAACTGGATTAATTTTCTTACACTGAAGCCATTGCTTTGTGTTTCTGCCAGTGAGTCGTCAGTAATGGCGGACAACATTAAACTCAGGAAGGTGGTGAGAAGGTCTGAGACCATCAGTGACCAGGATGAGACTCCGTCTCCAGCCTCGACCCCTGTGGGTATTTCAGATGTGGACTCTGAACAAAGTGACATGGCGAGAAGGTCTGAGACCATCAGAGACGGGGATGAGACTCCGTCTCCAGCCTCGACCCCTGTGGATATTCCAGATGTGGACTCTGAAAAAAGTGACATCTTTGAGGCCTTGAATAGACCTAATCCTTCATGGATAAAAAAATGTACGGCTAGTAGGTTCAAATATTTCTAAAACTAACCTTTAGCCTGATGTGTCAGTGCAGAATGAGAATTTTTTTTTAAGGTATATAATTATCATAAGTGTGTTGTGCTGTGTATTAATTTTTTCCGGGTTTTAACCTTAACAGCCCGTACTTATTTGGAATACGTTTCCGTCGTGGTCATCATGGCCGATGGCATGACGAAGATCTGGCAGAATCCATGTGAGGAGCCGACCCTCGAAATGAGAGTTAGAGACCTTTCTAATTTGGCTGATTATGCATTTTAATATTTGAATAAATCAATGTTGGGTGTTTTTAGGCTTTATGTGAGGTTGTGACTTTTTATCCTAACCATCCAGGTGTCTGAAAGATTCCTCTTTGTGTACTTTGTGTGCGAAATGATGTTAAAGATTTTAGACCAGGGTTTTTGTAGGCGAGGATGTTTCCTGAGAAACCCCTGGAACAAGTTGGATGCCCTGATCATTGTTGCAGAGTGAGCATTCCCAATCATTTGTCGCAAAGATGAACGTGCAGCCACGTCAGAGCTGCTCGTGTCAAAAGAAATAAAGTTCTGTTCTTAAAGTGATGCTAAATTAAAACGGCGTTTGTCTTCGTTAGGATTCTGGATTACATTCTGAAAATATATGGCATTGACTGGCGTATCTCTCAGCCGATGAAGCCACTACGAGTGATCAGCAGAGTGACAT